TCCCATAATGCAACGCGTGCAGCCACGTGTCACACGTGGCTGTGCGCGTTGCGTTATGGGGTTTACATGCCAAATCTAGCGGAATAGTTTTCCCCCCAAATCTAGAGGAACGTTTTCCCATCAAATTTAACGTAAAATTTTAACGCCAAATTTAGCGGGTCGATAGGATCACGACGTCACGTGACACATGACGCTGCTAACTAGACCATGGTTGCACGGCTTGGCTGAGGCGATGCTTAGCGTCCTCTAAACATTTATATGCCCAGTTAAATCTAAATACAATGCAAACCCCGGGAACAAGCGCAAACAGGACTGAAAACGTTGCCATAAAAAAAAAAAAAAAAAAGAATGGATGTGCGGCTGAAGTTTCGCCGCGCATACGCAGCGCCACTCCTCCCCCTGGCGAGGCGCGCCGATACTTGTTAGAAGTACGAGGAGCAGACGACGCGGGAGGCTGGTGCGCTTGTCGCGCTGGCGTCGCGCTTCGTAGAGTAATGCACCGAATGCAAAAGGTACCAAATGTCACAGCATCGTATTAAAGAAAAAGGTATACACCTCCCGAAAAGTTTTGTTTGGTTCCTGGGAGGTGATTCAAGAAAGATCGCCAGAAGCATGAATCGCCAGCTGTGCGGAGGATAGGTTTAATTATTGTTTCTCTATCTTGTCGCGTGATTCAGTAATGCAGCTACGCTTGCTTGTCACATTAATAGGAACTTTTCGTAGGTCACACGCGAGAGCATGCAGGGGTTATGCGTTGCTTGGGGGCGGTAAGAGCTGGCGCCCGTGGGGCCCGCAATCCGACACTGACGTTCTACGATAAGTCCCTAATGTAATAGCTAGGATGGTTCCCCACGGGTGTCTACAAACGAACCCCGAAGATGCAGTTACCATTTTTTTTATATATATATAAAAGACTTTAAATTTGAGAACCAAGCTCACTTTGCTTACCCGCCCATTTTGTTCCCCGATGTTAACAAGAGAAAGCGGGTAAGCGGCAACAGACTTTGGGAAAAATTAGGCAGATAATCGTAGCCCCTATTGCGTACTGATTTGAACGCGTAATTCAAAAAGAATTGACGGATGTATTTAAGTTTTTTTTTCATTAATAAAATGATGTAGTTAGCCCACAACAGGTATAATTACTTTCCAAGGGCCTCTCAAAATCAGACTACAACATCCCTGGGTCGACCAATTTCAGCGTGTTGGCAATGTTAGATGTTCCTAATGTAATAGCTAGGACGGTTCCCCGTGGGTGTCGACAAAATAAACCCGATTATGCAGTTACAATTTTTTAAACAAGCTTAAATTTGAGAACCCAGCTCACCTTGCTTACTAAGCAATTTTCAATTTTGATAAATTAGTGGAGACTGGGTCGAGAAAACTAAAAACATCAACCGTGGACAGAAAGAGGTATCTATCTCTCGTACACGGTTGATATATTTAGCTTTTTTCGCCCTAATCTCGGGCAATTCATCCGAATTGTTAATACACACACCTGCGCTCTCACAGTAATTTCTATCAATTTTGTTCCCTGTGCTTACAAGAGAAGGCGAGTAAGCAGCGGAAGACATGAGGGCCAATGAGGCAGATAATCATAGCCCGTATTGAGCAATGACTTGAGCGCATAGTTGAAAAGAGATTTACGCTGACGGCCGTACTCTAGTTCTTTTTTTTATATTATTAAAATTATGTAGCTAACCTACAACAGGCATAATTACTTTCGAAATAACTCTACAACATCAAACCCAGACATTCCTCGGTCAACCAATAAGAGTGTGTTGGCAATGTTAGATGTATAAGTTGAAAGCAAAATAAAGAGGATGAAGGCACGTCACAAAGGCCAGTAACTAAGCATTCATGACTGAAATTTAAAATTAAGTAATCCTTTCTTGCAGAGAGAGTGAAAAAATATTGGCGATCCTCTCCTGGCACACAGACTCAAGATATATCAAGTTAAATTGTAACTAAACAGCATACAAAACAAATAATGAAGCGAAATTTTTTATTTGTTGTGAACCGGAACAGTGTTCAAAATTATTATTCTGCGGTATAAGTTTAAAAAAAGGGGACGCTTTACAACTCAAATGCAAGTCGATTGGAGATCCCTCTCTTCACTAATAAAATTAAAAGTGGGTTACTGACGCACGCACGTACATGAATTGCGATTCTACAGCTTTGACGGCAGCGACAGAGGCGCGCGAACACAGCAAGGTGTTGCGGCGCATAGTAATATATATATTTTTTTGTTGGACCCGCTCAAAATAAAAGCGGAGGCCTTATTGACGTACCGTTTCGGTTTTATATTAGAACTTGACCCAGTGTTGCGATCAGGCTGTACACGCCTCGTCATTAACTTCATCCGGCTGAATTAGAACAGGCGCGGCATGCATGCTTCCATCAGCCGGTAACTCCGAGAACTGACCCGAGTTCAAAGTGTGCATGAGACAACGCAGCTGTGCGCGAAAAGACAATTAAAAAAATATTGCATCCTCATCTTTGTCCGAATAGCCCTGACTTTGAAGAGCTAGCGAAACCATAAAGTAAAAGAGCATTTATCTCGAGACGGATGTTACAGTCGACGCTGTCTTGCACTTGCGAGACACACTTCGCAAACGAGAAATATTCCTATGCCTGGATTATTTACTCCACCCCGGGGACTTGACACACAGGCAACCTTTCTTTGCGAAGGTTCGCCTCCCTAAAACATTATCACAGTTTTTTCTAACGGAGAGAGAGCTTCAACGCGGTGCCCGCCATTGCAATTGGCAGCGCGATGGGACGAGCAAACGGCTAAGTAGGGCGAATTCGGGCCACGGCGCGGCGCCACTGGTGTCGCTCCAGCGCGCCCCCTGGCCCAGCCGAACGGGCCCATGCAGAGCCTCACTGGGGGCCACATGGCTAATATGAGCCACAACACCAACACCTCTCACACAGCTGCCTTCAAAAGTTCAGTCTCACCACTAAATAATGGGTTTTGTGTGGTGTCACATCACAATGTCTTCATCTTCACAATGTCTTCATCAGAATCCGGGTTGTCAGAGCTAAAATCAAACAGCTCAGTGGCCTCGCTGCGGGGCCAGCTTGCTGCGGTCAGCACTTCCAAAATATGAACATCAGAGTTCACTCCGAAGCGAATATTGTATTATACGAAGCTTCTATTCGAAAATTCGAATATTTACACAACACTAGAGTTTTCTCTAATCCTTTCCAATAGCTTCGTTTACGCTTTTGGTGTGTGTCGTGGTTCCAATTTATTTTCACGAGTGCTCATTGGTTCCATTAGTAGCAGCTCGCCACACGTCACTGGAAAGACCGCAACCATCCACGAGCCGGGGTTTAGGGACCCCTGCCCTAAACCAACACGCCATTTGCAAACAAGTCAGCATTTGATCCGCCTGGTGTGGGCACTGCGTGTGTGCAAAACAAAGCGTCTGCGCAAGTGCCCTACCGACAGCGGCGCCACCGCAGCAGTGCGACATCAGAGTCGCGCATCATCCGAAACTCCTCCTCCACTGAAGTGAGATGAGGAACAGGGGTATTAAACACATGGGCAGCAAGGAGCACCCCACTATACTACTGACACTCAATAAACAAATGTTGCACCTCGGCTCTACTTGCAGGCAACGGCAGTGGTAACACAGGGCGCGATGTGTCGTAGTCTGATACAAGTTAAGAATGACAGGACATAGCTCCCCCCACAAAACCTTATCACCACTTCTAGGACTATACCTCCGCACAACAAACTTGTTAGAGGGAAATTTTATGAGCACGCTTACTGTTCTTTCCTCGTGTCATAATATTCAGATTCAAAATATACTCAATAATAAATTCAAACATCAGGACTTGCCCAAGCCCAAGCGTCCCGTCGAAGTCTCGTCGTCGTTCTCCCCTTCCAACACTCCACCACCTAGAACCGTTCATGTGTGGCTATCGCCCTGTCCACTGACACCTGCAGCCCCTCTGTTACAACTGTCGCAGTAAGTGCTTCAGTAAAAGCGCTGTCTTGCATTTAGAAGACAAAACATTGAAAAGGAGGGGCTGTTACGCCTGCACGCTCTGCGATTACAATAGAGCACCTTACGTGGGCACTTCCATCTTGAAAAAAGTCCGTTATGAAGACGCGAAAAAGACGCTCTCACATTGGCTCGCGTGGTGATACCACTTCCTTTGAGCGGCACTTACCGCTGTCTTTCACAAGTTGTATCAGACTATAGTGTGGAGAAACTGCGTACGCATATGGAGACTGGACGACGCGAAGTGGCCCTACGCCACGCAAAACGAGCGCACCATGCGTGTCTTGCTCGTGGATGCTATCTTCCACGTTTGCAGCGTAAATGCAACTTCTTCGGAGCCTCTTGGAGTGCGAGACACAGTAGACAAAGTGTGCGGAGAACAGAACAATTGGAATGCGGCAGCGCCGAGCAGAACGCCGATGCCAGCTCGCAGCAAGAGAACCAAACACTTGCGGCGAAGTGAGCGTCTGCTTTCTTTTCTGCCACTCTTTCTCGGGCTCTTCCACTGGGGAAGCCCAGAGTGCGCTCGTTTCACGAAGCGCCGCTGTATGTTTGGACACACGCGATAGTTTCCCCCCGCTGGGAGTCAATACGGAGGCACTTGAGGAAGAGGTTCGACTGGCACAGGTGTCCAATCAGGGAGGAAGCGAATGCTGCATCAAGCACCCAGCTGGCAGTCGGCCTGTCGACTTCCACAGCCGGCACCTAACCGGATATGGCTAAGTGCCAGCCATATAACACATTGAGTTAATAAATGCAAAAACCCGAGGAATCTAAAACACCATGCCCTATCCAAATGTATCTAATTGCAAAAAAAAAAAAAAAGAAAAAAAAAAGAAAGTTGTTAACACAATTTTTTTTTAAGCCGGGTTAACTTTGAAAGGGAATTAATTGCGAAGCGACTGACCTATTTTCACAAAGTAAAAACTGAAACAAATTACTTTGTGCAAAGGTAACCACCACTGCAATGAGACAATACCCAAGCCATTCAGTAGATCAAAAGAGGACTCGAGTTGGGATGTGTCGTTTTTATTGCTATCAGCAACATGAACAGCAAGTCAAGAAAAGAAGAGCTCGGCTGATATGGCACATATCTATCCTTTGTTCTCGTTAACACTCGGCATCACAAACGGAACAGCACAAATAAAATGCAATTGAAAAAATAAACTGCGGCAATGATCTCCTACAATGCAAGACGGGCAACCGGAGCCTCCGGACAGGGGTAGTGACGGCACCGAGCGAGAGGCGGCACTTTTTCGGTGAACCTACCTAAACCACAGTGTACACGTGATGGCCACTGCAGTGAATCCACTAACAACAAATGGTTGTAGCAACTCTCTCAATCAACGAGATACAGCAGCAATTGCGGCATATGCATGAAAACGTGCTATGTGTTGCATCAAACCTCAAAAAGGAATCCAATATCGCTGCGTAAAAGGAAAATTCAGCCAGTGAGGTACAACCACTAGCCTGGGCATCTTAATGCACATAACGCAATAATGATGGCTTAAATGCATGCTTGTACAACACTCAAAACAAACAAAAGTCTGAATTGAGCTCGCGACGGCGTGAGCTTTTGCCATACATTTGCACCACGTGTCGCTGAGCCGTGATGCGTTTGTCGCATTTGTGAGAGGCAGTTGTTTTTGTCGACGCCAGACGCAGGTGCGTACCCTTCCCCTATCCGGCGACAGCGGGAGTGCACAAACAAAAATCTCAAGAAGAGCACAGTGACGATGAGAGCAGGGCAAACCGCGTCGACGCCTCACGGGCCCCGGGCTTTGACTAGCGCTGGTTTTAAGAGTGTGCAGGGACGAAACGCATGGCGAGGCTTCTACACGGCACACAAACCTACGACGCGTGGCGAAATGTGCGGTGCGTTTGTCGGCACAACGACCTCAGACACTGGCTCTCTCGATTCACGCCGACTTCACAGAGGACGACAATGCATAATGACCCCGGCACTTCCGAATCTTCGTCATCCGGCGACTTGTACGGGACGACACTTGTGACCAGACAACTCTAAAACGCGCTTCCACGCCGCCTGTACAGAATGTTCGGTACCCAAACGCGCCGAAAAAATTGCGTGCCTTTTTCCGAAAAGTTTGCGTCGGCGGTGCTGCAGGGTCCCGGCGCGTCACTTGTCGGGATTTACGACGGCAAACTGACGAAGTGTCCGTGGAAGACTTCCCTCGACGGCGGTGCACTTGCGGGGCTTCGGATGACGCGGGACTTGTGTGACCGTCCGCATCGTTTTGGTCCGGAACGGTCGACATATCGTGACACAGGTGGCTTTTTGGCACATTCGTAAGTACGACTAACCTGAATTTTTGGTCGAGAGAGGTATTTTCTTGCGGTGCACTCTTGGGCGAGCTCTTGAAATGACGAGCCTCGTGATGCGGGAAAATCTTAGAGGCAAAGAATGCGCAAAGGCGCCGAAGGTTACCTCTGAGGGGAGGGATTAAAAAGAGCCTGGAGTCCGACTCAACCACAAGCTTTCTAACCCGGAGTCTAAGTACACCTCGCATCTTGCAGCAACCGCAAGACCGCGCAACTCGCACTGCCCGTGCCACTCTAGAATCTTAACCCATTCTCCCCAAGCAACTAATAATAATAACAATAAAAAAAAAAAAGAAAGCTTCAATGTGGCACTAAGGAAGTGGCAATTTGAGATGCCGCAAAGGACAAAAACATAATTTTCAAATCCAGAAACCTCCCAGGTTCTCCACTCTCGGGTATTTGAATAAGAACCTGCAAATTCCTTCAAAGTCGTGCACCTAAAACTAAAACAGCTTAAAAAAAAAAAGCATTAGAAAGAAGCTTGTTAAAAATGGTTTGTTGGGTTTAACTTAATTCAACGCGATAAAAGCGATAAGAGTTCTTCGGTGGGTCCGAAAAAAAAGAAAAAAGCTCGGGCAAATGCTGCCACACAAAATCGCAGCGACCCAAGCCAGACCAGCAGCATCCCTTTCAGAACTCCTCTCTGTTTACGACTAGGCTATCAGATGCCACGCGCACAAGGACGCGGTTACTTCTGTACAATACAAAGGTCGCCGAGGTATGTACAACACTTCCGTGGATATGTCTCCTTAAAAATTAAATTAAAAAAAACATTAAGAGCGTGGCACTGCAAATCTAACTGCGCCGCAATGTTGCTCGAGACGCCGAGCAATGCAATGGGGTGTCCCTGCCGCAAGTTTCTGTCTCTGGTCTCGGTGGCTCAAACATAGACGGCATCTTTCGCAAGTGGACTTGGAGCATGCGTACCGCCTTGTGAATTGTGCGCTACCGCTCGAAGGCTCCAACGGGAGTTACCATACTCTGACGTGACGAAGGTGGGATATCTCGGACCTGTTAAACATTTTCGAGTGCTGCCTAAAAACATTTTTCGCGGTGCAGAGTTGAACGCCTCTCCGCAACGCGCTAGCGATCGATGGAAACCAAAACTCCAGTCGTCTGCACGTGGAACCACGGGTCGCTTCCGGCTTGAGACGACATCCGTCAATCGCGATCCTCGCGACGTTTGAAACCTCTTTGAGCCGACACGCGAACGACACGTGTAAAAGAATTGTTCCGATGGAAGCGCTTTGCCAAACATCATCCGCAACACGCGCGAGCACACACTCTCCACTTCCGTTCACTCCTCAGATCTGATAACGAAAGGTCCGTGTCTCTATCACCTTTGCACACCACCCTGTAAAGGGAAAGAGGGAATATGAGGAGGAGAGGATACAGAAAGGGGGGAGGGGGAAAGAGAGGGTGAAGCAAAATTAAGGTCAGGTACTCGGCGCCAAGCATGCTGCCCCAAAAGCAGGATTTCGGCAGGCTGCTAGCTGCCAGCAGTTTAAAAGCTTGCGCCTTTGAAGCCTCCGATTCCTGCTCCCATCCTTTCACGGCAGTGTGGAGAAAGTGTATCAGAAATTCCCTGACATCCTTTGCAAGTTGTCTCTACTTACGATTCAAGTCAGCCCAAGGTTGAGGCCTCGTTATGTGGCCATGGAGTTTTGAAAAATCTAAAAGACCCCGACGTCAAGGAGGAAATTTTTACAATTCTAAAATGTTTTGGACACACTAAGACAGCTTGGGGCAAAAAAGATAAAAAAAAAAAATATTTAAGGCTGTCTTAAAACTAGATGAAACAATCTTGAACAAGTTTACAAAGTAAAGGTCGCCTGTCCACTAAAGGGATCTTGTCTTAGACTGCCTGTATATATATGAGAGCTGCCCACTACATGCATTCACCAGACCACAGCACTGCCAGTTTGAGGTTTTGTCCAGTGACTATCACAAGTTGAGCTAGCTGCTCGGGCAAGTACAAGCTAGCCTTTGCACCCTGAAATGCAGGTGAGGGTAGCACGCTTTTTATATTTACGACAATCAAAGGAACAATGTTAGCTGTACAAGTTGCACATGCAAGCAGCCCTAACAAAAACATGTCTACACTGTGGCCTCCTCCAAATTTGATGCAAACCGGAATGCTAAACACTTACAGACCAAGGGTTGAGAATGGGAACGACATTCGGCAAATCGGTCAACCATGACTTGCAAGTTTATCCGCACAATGCAATGTCCGGCTTGTATTTGCTGCCGGGGCCATTAAGAATCAACTTCAACGATGGAAATAAATTTGTGATCTTGTGCGTGTAAAGAGGGACAAATTTCACCCTTTGTCTCGGTGCTAACAAAAAGATTGGTAAGTTGCCACAAACAACAACAAAAAGAATAATTCTACCAACTCAAAACGAAACAGCGAGACGAAACCAAGACTACTCCAGTAAAACTCGCAAGAGGTAGCAAAGGGTGTGAGAACCAGCCAGCATGCAGTGCAGGTTAGGGTTAACCCGAAAGTGCACAGAACATGCAAACCAGAAAATGAAACAGAGCAGATGTCGCGCTTTCTTCGTCTGCCACAGGCACTTTCGTTCACAAGGAATGAATGAAAGCAATTCAGACAAGCGGTGTACACACCAAGTTAACAACAAAACGTGCAGGCACGAACGTAAAATTACCGAGCTGCAGCACCAACAACATGCACCACCTCGGTGGCAACAAACGACCCAAAGACACAACGTCGGTTGGCCAACACAAAGAACCTGCGCCCGCATGCTCCCGCCATGCGTGTAGCAGACGTGCCCAGGGCGGTGCGGAGACTTGACGTTTCCGCCTCGCTCCCAAGGCGTGCAGACGACGGATTGTGAGTGACGCGATGGTGAGCGACGCGGCAGTGATGAAACCCAAGATGCCGACGACTCGTTGCGGGCACAACATCCAGGCACCCCTCGTGCACGGCGAGACACAGAGTGCACACACAAACGCACGCATCCGGAGCGCAAGTCAGGGTGCGCCGCTCCGCAGTCGGCCGGACCTATCCGTCGCCATGGAAACCAGCAGGCTCTGGAAGTCCGCCAGCTCCGGACCGAACAGGTCGAGAGCCGGAGGGGGCGCGGCCCGGGGCGGCACACCCACCTCTGGAGTGCTGCGCGGCGGCACGGGGGGCTTGGGCCCCAGGTCTTTGCGCTGCAGCACGGGCTTGTTGGGGGGCACAGGGGGCGGGGTCGGGCGCGGGGAGGCCCCACCCACTGACGGAGGCCCCGCCTTCTTGGGCGGGGTCCGGTCGGGGGCCGGCTTGGGGGGCACCTGCGACGGCAACTTGTTACACGCCGACCGTCCACGTAACCGTTGCAAGAGCAGGTACCCCCCACAGACAACATGAGCCGAGAGTCCTTTGTGATTCTTTGGCGTGCCTCCCAGTTTTTGAGAGAGCTGTGGCCCGAACTAGGCATGGAATGCGAAGTTGAGGTTCCATACTCCAAACTATTTGACGACTCAAACGATAATAAAGATTGTGCCCACCGCAGACGCAGAAAGAGGCCGGATCAGGTGTTTCGGCTTACACTGTCGAGGGGGTACACTGCACGACACTGGGCTCGTTCGATTTACCTGCACCAGCCTACAGCGGTACAGGAAGTACATCGCGCTGCATAAAAATGCAAGGCGGTGCACTTGCTGCATGAGCTCTAATATAGACTGCACCTGTAAATCGAAAATGACGGTATGCCCTTAGTGCAGCTGGTGCAGGCAAATCAGACGTAGCACCTATTAGCGCGAACATGACATCGGCACTTTGTAACTTTTTTGCTTCGCAGTGGTACGAGCGGGCACCAAATCTCAACGTGTAAGGCTGGATCGTGCACTTGCAATTGAGTGCGACTGACTGCGTCGCGGATGCCTGTAACTGCTTACAAAAGAACAAATTGGCACTTTTGTGAGGCGGACATTGAGAGACCACAAACGAGGACGTCACGAGGCAGAATTTGCAGGGCCACGAACGAGGACACAGTCGGCACACTAGCCCGAAGTGCGTGATATAGGCCCTTCCAGGAAGTGCTCTCAGGGTGGCGCCATTTTGTTAGACCGCAACGCTTTCTCCAAACGCAGAGGCAGGGCAAAAAAACTAGGGAGAGGGCATGCACCCCACTCTGCTAGCAGACGACAAACCGGGAGGTAGCCATTCTCTATCTTTGGGCTGTGCCGAACGTCAAACTCTCGCTCACAGCTGCCATTGTGAAGTGGTTTGCGTTCCTAGAATATGCATGGCTACTCTCAAAATCAGCCTATAGTGCTCCGTTGTTTGATTTCAGTAAACGATCAGCTAGCGCATCTTTCTTCCGTTACTTCAACAGCAGTGGCGTCAGCTGGCAGTACTACCCTCAACCACTGCGCCTATTGCGTCGGGAGAGCACGTTTTTATTTATTTATTCTGGACTCCCCACCCACTGTCGCTATAGGCCTACACCAGTAGAAACTTTGTATAGTAAAAAAAAGCTGCTGCAACCCCATTTACCTTTTCACCGGAGAGGACAGACCGACCAATCTCACGTTGTTTAAACATTTCTTTCTTTATTTGCAACCACAGATAACAGCGCAATCGGACCCGGTTAGTATTTCCACCGGGCATAACAGTACACAATAACTTGATTATTGAAATTCACACATTTGCACTTGAAATTTCCAAAATGACACGATTTTAAATGGAGTTGTCCCGCCAGCCGGATGTTAGATACAGCCCACTAAGCGGAGCAGACGACACACAGGGTGAGGGAGGAGGGCATTTTTCTCTCTCCGCTCTTCCTACTGGAACGGCCTATAGCCACTGACATAGTGAGAATGACAGGACGCGTCTTTTGAATGCCTGGCCTCCAGCACGTGCGCTGTCGAAGGTAGGAAGTTCGCGCCGAATGCGGGGCAACTGAAGGACTGTAGCTCGACAGACACTCGCCCTCGCTCACCTGCGGTGTCGGGGGCGGAGCACCGGGGGCCGGCGGGGGCGGGCCCACCACCTTGAGGGGCGGGGCCCGGGGTCCCACGGCCACGCCCCTGGGCGGGGTCGGGGCGGGCACGGCGGCCCGGACCGAGGGGGGCGGGGCGCTGGCAGGGGTCACCACTGTGGCGCTGCGCACCCCTTCGCCTAGGGGCGGCGTCGGGAGGGGCGGGGCCGCCGCCGCAGCACGCTCCGCCTCTAGGCGGAGCCGATCTAGCTCTGCCTGCTGCTGGGCGTTGAGGGCCTTCAGTTCTCCCAGCTGAAAGTGGAAAACACAGTCACTTTCAAAGCAGAGTTTTGTTCTAATGGAAGGTATGGTCACTGCCTGCTTAACACTTTTGACTGCCACGCCATAGTATACACTCAGGTGCATTCCCGTATGGTTTCAGCTCCCTGACCCTCCCAACTAAGTTGTTGTTTCCTTTTATTTATTTTTTTATTTTTATACGTGTCGCGGCCTTTAACAGCAAGTGATGAAAACAATGTTCTTTCTTCAAGAATCACTTTTTGATGGCAACTTTTGTTTCGGTACGCTTCTTCGCAGCTATAGAATGGTGAATCCATGTCATTACACCTCGCACTTCATTGCAAACACAGAGATCTAAAAATTATTAACGAACTCGGTATTCAACGGTCGCGAAAAAAAGTAAGTTACAGCTACGAATAAATAAAGGCAGAGTAGGGCCACTCAGACAAGTGAGCGCGATGTCGAGGTACCGCCGCATAGTACCGTGTGTCAACACAGGATCGCAACATCCAACTGCTCAACGCTCTGGCTTTGGTGACTTGTCATTTAATGCCCCTTTGGAACCACTTTCCATGCGTGGGCGGAACAGAACACTAAACACACCAGTCACAGACGCGTTCCGGACACGAGTGCGACACATCGGCAACGTGTGCATAAACTTCAATGCACGTGACTGTGGGCCGTGCAAACTCCCAGAAGGTGCCACTCACCGTGCGAGAGAACGGAAAGGAAGAAAAGCCGAGGATCGATGGGCGGACGTACCTGCGCCTGGAAGCGCTCCCGTTCCAGCTCAAAGTCCGCGGCCTGCCGCTCCATCTCCTCTTCCATCTGCAGCGAGCGCTTGCTCTCTTCCTCCAGTCCCTCCACCATGTCCGCAGAGCGGGCCTTTTCTTCCTGCAGACTCTGGGGGCACCGCAAGAACAGACGTCAATTTCAGAAGTGTCAACTCATTCGCTAACAAAGCCGGCAAATCGCTGGGTGTGCCGACAGGGAACCTATTGCCAACGCCGGCAATTCGCCGGTCTGCGCGAATTTGTTTTTGAAGAACCATTCATAGATGGCGCGCTATGTAGACTTGGGGTAGTGCAGTTAGATACATTGCCAACAGATGGCGAGGGTTGTTCTGTCCGCTGTGTTTGTTTGAGCTTGTTCTTTTGTGTGTCGCCTTTCCCCTTCGATAGCTGCCTGCTTGGAGGAGATGGAAGCGTCCAGTTTGCGGTGTGGCCTTTCTGACAATGAAATAATATATAAGCTCTTTGACAGCGATGATAACGGGACGTCTGGTGATGATAGTGAGTTTTTTGGAGCCTTCTGTCGATGACGGGAGTGATTCTGACAGCATTTCGGAGTCCGAATCACGACAAGAGTGCACTGGTTGCGCGACACCTAAGCGACCGAGGACGGAGTGCTTCGAGTTCTTTCATACGAGGAACAATCTGTGAGGGCCCAATGATTTAAAGACTTGAATGAATCACTTAAGCATGTAAATAAATATGTTTTCTTGTATTCTGCACTGAGTTTTACTGTAAAAGCTTATTATACAAGCAAAGCAGTCACGCCTAGTGTAGCCCTGTTTTAGGAGGAAAAGTGCGGCAGTGCGCTACGTGCGCAATAGTGAATGGGTGAATGGCATGCGGCGAACAAGGGCGACAAAGGGCAAACACAAATCTCCAAACACAGCTAGGTGACTGACTGAAAAAATCTGCCTGGTCCTGGTATTGTCGGAGGGTTAGGCGAATGGCTGAGAGAGGTCGCCACCGCACGGGAAACAGGGGCCCCCCGGGAGAACAATAAACGCGGACTTGCCAGACGGTACTGACTCACTCACAGGCTGGTCTCTGTCTGTTCACTGCCCAAACGCGACATGGTGGCAGCGGTGGGATCAAGAGAAACGGTGACCTTAGCCGGGCAGCAGTGAATCAGTGAAAAGAGCAACAGCAGAGGGCACGGCACGCACAACCGAACCAGCGGCGAGAGCAGCGGACACGCGTAACTGCGCAACAACGCCGGTTCAAAATGGCGGACCAAGAAGCAGCGGTTCAGGCGGGAAGCGGCTACTGCAACCCGATTTCAACACAGCTGCCGGAAAAGTTCGACTTGCCCCAGCCGCACACGTGGAAGACCTGGTTCACGAGATGACAACGCTACAGGATAGTCACCGAGTTGCATCTCCGCTCTCAAGAGACGCAAGTAAACACATTTCTCTACGCCATGGGCCGTGAAGGGGAGGACGTTCTTTGTTCTTTGAAGCTGACTGAGGACGAAGGCAAGAACTATGAAAATGTCACCGCGGCATTCAAGAAGCACTTTGTACATCGGGCGAACGTAATTTACAAGCGAGCAAGGTTCAATAGATGCTGCCAGGAACCTCACGAGACAGTGGACGAGTTCATAACCGGACTACACAAACTAACGGAGTTGTGCGAGTTCAATCCCCTCAAGGACGACCTCATACGCGACCGGCTGGTCGTGGGATTACTGGACGTGGGACTTAGTGAGAAACTACAGTTGGAGCCCCAGCTGACGCTGCAGACGTCTACACAGAAAGCCCGGAATTCAGAAATCGTCAGGAAGCAACAGAACAAGCTGCGCGAGAAAGCTTAACAGAATGCGGCCCTAGACGAGACATGACACCAGAGACCACGAAAAAACCAAGGAAACGCGTTTGGCAGTATCGGACAACGCGGGTGCAAGTGGTGCGGCAGTGCAGAGCAGCACTCTAAGAAGCAGTGCCCAGCTGCGGAAAACTGTGCAACCACTGCGGGAAAAAGGGACACTTCACTGTCGTATGCAGGTCGCCTCGACTCCCCGAGACCCAGACGCCTACAAGTCAACGCCAGCACAGCACGACTGTAGGAGAAGTTTACGTGGGAGAAATCGTGCAAGAGAGAAGCACAGAACCATGGAAGATCACTGCCAACGTCAGCGGAACGGAAGTGACGTTTAAAATAGACACCGGTGCAGACGTCACAACTATCCCACAGCATCTCTACGACCAGGCTAAAATGGGAGATAAAGAAAACAACCAACCGCCATATGGGTCCAGGCAAATCTCCGATCCACACGGTGGGATAAGCTGACGTCACAATCAAGTGGAATGACAACTCGGCACAAGAGGTGGTCTAGATCGTCAGTGGCCTCCGCGAGGCCTCCTCCTGGGACGTCCAGCTATCAAAGCGCTGTAGGTCCTTAGGTATCTTCAGGAAGTCACTACAGTACCAGAAAATGAAGAGGCGGAAGCACGCAGAATTTTCGAGAGCTACCCAGAGCTTCTTTCGGGACTAGGGCTCATGGAGACCCCTACAGGGTAGTGCTTGCTCCAGGAGCTAAACCCCATGCTGTGACATATCCGAGAAGAGTACCAATCCCACTTCTACCCGAAGTAGAAAGAGAACTGCAGCGCATGCAAGATCTAGGGGTTATAGTCAGAGTCGACAAAGTGACGGAATAGTGTGCACCAATGGTGGTCACAAAGAAGCAGAACGGCGAACTGCGCATCTGCGTGGACTACGGCGAACTGAACAAGCAGGTTGTTTCAGAAAGAGTACTCATGCCAACTGTGGACGAGAGCCTAGCGAAGCTGGCTGGTGCACAAGTGTTCAGCAAGCTTGATGCAAGGGCAGGTTACTGGCAGACACCATTGTCCAAGGAATCCCAGGAATACACAACATTCTTGACTCAATTCGGACGTTTTCAATTCTTGCGACTACCGTTCGGAATATCGACGGCACCCGAGTTTTTCCAGCGAGAAATGCTACGTGTGTTCGAGGGAATTCAAGGGCAGGTGTGTCTGCAGGATCACATCATCGTGTTCGGGAGCACGGCAGATGAACATGACCGCGACCTAAGTAAAGTGCTCCATCGTCTGCGAGAAGCGGGGATAATGCTAAATCCAGACAAATGTGCTTTCCTCAAAAAAGAAGTGAAGTTTCTAAGCCACATCGTCTCGTCGCAAGGCATCAAAGCTGACCTGGCAAAGCTCAGTGCCGTCAAAAAGATTGAAACACCACGAGACGTTTCAGAAGTCAGGTCGTACCTGGGAATGATCAACCATTTGGCGAAGTTTCTACCCGAACTTGCTGAGCAAACTAAGCCACGGAGAGACGTGCTTCGTCATGATGCAGTCTGGTGCAAGGGAGAGGCTCAGCAGCAAGCCTTCGAGCAGACCAAGGCAGCTCTCATCACAACCCCGGCATTGGCAATGTACAACCCAAGAAAGAACTTGACACTCTCGGTCGATGCCTCATCTTGTGGATTGGGGGCTGTGCTCCTTCAGGAGTCCCAAGGCGAGCAACAACCAGTTGCCTATGCATCCAGGGCACTAACGGAAACTTAGCAACGCTACGCCCAGATTGAGGAGGCACTAGCCATCACGTGGGCTAGTGGCCGCTTCCACACGTGCCTCCTAGGGCTCCAATTTCATATTGAGACTGACCACAAGCCCCTTGTGCCACTTCTCACCACGAAGCGTCTAGATGAACTCAGTCCTCGTCTGCAACGTTTCCGCATGCGACTACTGGAGTATGACTTCCCAATCTCCCACATCCCGGAAAAGGAGATCCACACCGCAGATGTGCTGTCACGTAAGCCACTAACTGGAGCAGGAGAAAAGGAAGCTGCCGACCTGGAGGAAGCCGTCTGGGAGTATGAAGTTCTCACAGTGGAACTGTTACCTGCATCAACAGACATGCTCTCACGGATCAAAAATGAGATCGGGAAGGATCCAGTCACGTTTCGAGTCATGGAGTACTGCTCTACGGGCCGGCCGAGCATGAGAACTCTACCACCAGAAGTGCGGCGATACTGCAAAATAGCAGGCAAACTCTCAATAGTACAAAGACTTCTGTTCAAGGGCAACCGACTGGTTGTACCCCCAGTCCTTCGCAACGAAGTCACAATGGCTAGGGGGGCTGGTTAGTTCATAGTCTTTAAAAGTAATAGCGCCGAAAACACAGAGAAGGACAAAGAAGTGAACGAAAAAGTAATAGCGCCGAAAATACAGACAAGGACGAAGAAAGGAAAGTAAAAAAAATTAAATTTGGGGGTTTTACATGCCAAAACAACGACGGGCATCTGGCACGCCCCAGTTGAGGACTGAGGAATAATTTGGACCACCTGGAGATCTTCTGACGTGCAACCAAAAGCTTGATTACACGGCGCCTCCTCCGCAATGAGCCTCCGTCAGATTGCGGGCACCTCGGCCGGGATTCGAACCCGCCACTTGGGGATCCATAGGCCGGCGCTCTCGCCTCGGAGCCACCAAGGCGGCTAACGGAAAGTGAACGAGTGCCTTGTGTTCGTTCATTTCTTGTCCTTCTCTGTATTTTTGTCGCTATTAATTTTTAAACACGCTGGCACACTGGCGTCATCTACGATGTGGACCTGAAACTGCATTCCACCAGAACGGAGGTTTTGCAGTCTTTGCGGGATCAAACGTATGTCCAGTCACGAGAAACGACCGTTTATAATGTCGTCAAACAATTTCCGAGCCAATACTGAAAGGACGAGCGAAAAAAAAACAAAAAAAACAGCGAAAATATACGGAAATTGCGAGTGCTCCACAGCCGCCTGTAGATGTCGGCAGTAAGTTCTTTCGTCGTAAGAGATCACAAATGGTAGCGACGCGCTTGGTTGTAAGCAGTTGCAAGTGTGCCAAATAGAGCATATTTGGACACGTTCCCGTGTGGTTTCAGGTTTGGTTTGCTCTCCATTTCTCCCAACTGGGCTGTCATTCTTTTTTTGTTATGTGTAGCGGCATGTGGGAGCAATCAATAAGAACAATGTTTCATCTTGTGCCGTCGCTTTTCAATGGCATGCAATATCTTTTGCTTAGGCGGCCTTCGTTTTAATGTGCTCCTTCGTTGTAACAAAACGGAGAATATATGTCGGTGAACATTGCGCTTCGTGATGAAAGACGAGGTTTAAAAATTACGAATAAAATTGGTATTCGACGACCGTGAATGAAAAAAGAAAGTTACAGTTTTGAATCAACAAAGGCAGAGTAAGGCCGCTCGAAAGGGTGAGCTCCAGGTGCCACAGCCTGTTAAGATATCTCTCGAAAAGTACAATAGACTTTTTCGACAAAGGAGCGCCAGCTGTCGCACAAAAAGGGAACTAGCCCCCGACGCTATCTTGAAGGATAGAAAAGAACTTTCGAGGAACTAATCCACTCTCACTTACAATAATTAATGATATCACCCAATCTCCCGTCCTTACTCCGAGAATAAAAATAAATAATTTCTTAGCGCGTGATAAAGAAACTGCAGTTTCATTTCACCCATGACCTCCTGACCACACTACGAAACTCGTGCTGGGGCGACGTAAACACACCGGGAGCATCCTGTGCCCAGCCAGATCTAGCTTTTTTTCACAGTTGTCAGACTTCTTGAAAGGGGTCTATTCGGGACTCCAGCAACCTATAGGGGGCGCCACCACCAAACAAACATGGCGGCTGAAAACAGGTTGCGTCGGTTCGGCCGGGCCGCCTGAACAAGTGGCGCATTCGATTTAACAGATTTTCTTTTGTTTAATGCCCTATTTTATAGCTATTCGAACTGCGACGGTTAAGTGTAGCCAGTGCACATAAACTTGCAGAGCATAGTTTTGTTTTCCCGGTGCTTTTTTAGGGGTGAAGCTCCTTAGGGGTTAGCCATGTCCGTATGTCCGTCTGCCGTCGGGTCACAAGCACATGAGCACGTGCTCCCAAGCTCAAGTAAAGAAAAAAAAAACAAAAAACAACAACCGCATCTGCACGTGGTGAATGATGTTGATTGGGGCGAAGCTCTGGTGGTGCTTGTCTGCATAGACAGAGCCGCAGCATGCCGAGCCTTTCGTTCGTTTTCCTACATGTCAGAAAGAGAATGTGTGGTATGGAACGTGGTTACATACGCATTTGAGCATTTGACCGCAGCGTGACATGGATGAAAACGAACGAAAGGCTCGGCATGCTGCGGCTCAGCGTCTATGTAGACAAGCACCACCAGAGCTTCGCCCCAATCAACATCATTCACCACGTGGAGATGCGTTTTTTTTTTAATTTTTTTTATGTGAAACTTTTGTTTTGGAAGTTTTGTTCAAAACCGAAACTATGGGCTCCGGAGAGATGGTAATAGACTCTAACCAGTTTTGATCAGCTAAGGAAAGCGGCAATGACAACAGAATTCTTCCACCGAGAGTAATTTTCAGCTAACTCGCATGCCTCGACCATGCGACTTATCTGTCCACGAAATCGAGCTCCAGTCGTCTGCTAGTCAACAACACAGGCTGCAGGAAAATTACGAAAATTAAGCAAGCACTTCCTGAGCCAAGGAGCATGTTAACCAACAGGCGCCCCATTAAGCAGCTGATACTCTAATTTCAATTTAGGTTTTAGTAGCAATCAAGAAGTCATTTTGACGAATATGCGGGTTCTGTACTATATTACGTACTATGTCCCACAAAAGTGATATTAACTTATTCTTTGGGTTGAAATATGAGCTTAGTTGACTAGCTATTAAATAAACTGCTGAATAAAAGTATATTTAACAGACAAAGAGATACTACTTAAACTCGGTCAAATGGTTCTAGCCGGCAGCGCGGAGACAAATGCGGACAAACTGAAGAAAGTCTTCATCGGATATTCATAGAGAACCTCTCTGCGTTGAACTTGACTTAGAATCCTGAACAGAGAAATTGAGTATTTTTTGTGGCCGGACAACCTGAGCAATGTAGACGTATATTGCTGCTGGCTTCGAAGGGGGTATAATATACATATTGGAGGCGCGGTAGATCATAATGCCGTGACAGCTTCTAACTTTGCAAGACATGTCCCCCACCTTTTGAAAGCAGACAATTTCCCTCATTAATCGTATGCAGCGAGCAGGTTTTCCGGAATCAAGTAATTGCGAAATCAGCACAACTCCTTCGGTGTGGTCCATAGGCTTTTTCGGCGAAAAGCAGCCAAGATGAATAGCCAACGCACCGACCGGCGTGGGTGGCTCAAACTTGAAGCTAATCGAACACAACCAAACTCATGAATAGCGGCTATCGAACCATCCCATTCACTTGACTGCGACATTGGTGTTCCCTTAAGTCAGACACCTCCTCTCTCGTCCTCACTCCAGTGTTCTACATCCTTATAAAGAAACCCCTTATCAGTTACCAAGTAGTCGTCACTTTGAATGTGATTCGGGACAGACGAGAAATCATAAAGTTTTTCCGCGATTCCTCTCCATCCAAGAAATCGAAAGCCCGTGACCGTGTGTTGTGAAGTAAAAGGGCTTTCAAAACACGTGATGGAAGGAAAGAATCTACTGAGGTTTCACCACACTAATGAACACTCAGGCAAACTTAACTGACTTTCGTCAAATTACATTGACTGCCACCGCGCCGACAACACGTGTCCGCGAAAGCTGCCAGAGATGCAGAGAGGCGCAAAGCGACCTGTTCTGGCTGGTTCCCGGTTTTCCCGCTTCGTAGCGTCCATTCTGCTGGAGTCGCGAATAGAAGAAATATGTTGTAGGTTGGACATATGGAGACATCAACTACCGTATTTACTCGCAGAATGAACGCACTTTTTTTCCCGAAAAATCGATGCAAAGTTAGGGGGGGCGTTCATTACGCGAAGTAAAATTTTTTCGTCCGTATTTACTCGCATAATGAACGGACTTTTTATCATGAAAAATCGACCTAACTTCTTATCTCTTTACGCGCGGCGTGGGTCCCGTAACCAAACTGGGATGTGCAAAAAGAAAAAAAAAAAAAAGCTCCTCTTGTTTTCTTTTTCTTAGCTCCTTGGGTTTTTTTTGTTTTTGCCGCCTGTTTTTCGCAAGCTGTTTCATTTGCTCAGGCGTGGGCTTTCCCGCTCATCTTATCTCCTTGCGCGCGGCGCCCAACGCGCGGCCCCCCCCCCCCCCCCCCCCCCCCTCCCTCCGTAACCAAACTGCTCTGCAAAAAAAAAAAAAGGAAACGCTCCTTTTTGTTTTTGTTCTTTTTCTCTTAATTCCATAATTTCTCTTTTTTTTTTTGTAGTCTTTCGCAAGCTGTTTCGTTTGCTTAGAGGGCTTCTCCGCTTCTCTTTCTTACCTCCTTGCGCGCGGCGCGCGACTCCAAAGTCCAGACTGCGCTGTGAAAAAAAAAAAAAAAAGAAGCTCTTTGTTTGTTTTTTCTCTTAGTTCCTGGTTATTTTTTTTTTCTTCTTGCCGCCTTTCGCAAGCTGTTTCGTTTGCTTAGAGGGCTTTTCCGCTTCTCTCACCTCCTCGCGCGCGGCACGCGACCCCGAAGTCCACACTGCGCTGTGCAGAAAAAAAGAAAAAAAAAAAGCTCTTCATGTTTCTTTTTTCTTGCTTCCGTTGGCTCTTTTCGAATTTTTTTTAACGCCTTTTGCAAGGCGTTTTGTTCGCCCATGCTGCCCTTTCATTCGTGACCTCGCTGCACCAGGATAGAAAAGTGCGTTCATTTCGCGCGCGTGGAGGGTGGGGGTCAAAATTTTGACGTCGGAGTTGGGGGTGCGTTTATTACGCGGGTGAAAAAAAAAGTCGAATTTTTGTGAGCCGACTTGGGGGGTGCGTTCATTACGCGAGTGCGTTCATTGTGCGAGTAAATACGTAACTTCTTGGCCTTAAAATAGTGTATCTTTTATAAATAAATACTCTTCACGGAGCGCGCAAGGGTGTCACCCGAGAACAAAAATCTGCGTTCGGCATGTGAAGAAAAAGACATGGCACTCCAAGAGTTAAGCAGCTTATCTAAGGACCGTGGCCACACCCCCCACCTGGAGCAGCTGGTCTCCGCGTTGCCGCTCCTGGATGAGCCTGAGGATGAGCCGCTTGCGCTCTCCGAGCAGGAGCAGCACCATCTGCTTCTGGCGACTGCGCTCCAGCTCCAGGGAGTCCCCCACCTGAGTCACGATGGATGCGTACAGCTGAAACCTTCGCATTAGACGGCGACTTGCACCAGCTAGCCAGCGTTTCAAGTGTAGGACACAGCGGTCAGAGCCCCCTTTGTACCTCCCCCAAACTATGGTGTGTCGGGAGCAGGGAGGGGGAGGAACGCCTGGTGTGTTTACCGCCTGGGGTCCAGTTTTGGTTAAAGAACGACGTACACTTCGCGCTTTCCACTCTTGCCCACCTCCTCCTCTCATATCCCCCCTTTTTATCTTGCCCCAACTTGGCTCCCATCATAGCTTAGGAGAGGGGAGCGCTAAGGGGACTATCTTCCCTGCAGAAAACCGAAAACCAATGAGACATTTTAGACCGGTTTGCGAGTTCGAAATCGGGCAAAATTTTGGTGAGAACGTCTCACCATCTCCCATATAGCAAGCAAGGTCTCGTGGGCTCTGACGCACTTGTCCTTAGTATTCCTTCATCAACAGGTCAATGTCAGCTTGTGCATGGCAGCGGAACAACTTGAAGTGTGCACGAAAAGCGCGGCTCGTCAATGGCTTCCAACGCGAAACAGCAGACCGTCGCAATTTCGGCCTGCGTCTGACCTCGCACCGCCGTGCGGCTCGGTTCGTAGCAGACGATCAACTTTTATTTTCTGGTCCGTTATGGCCAATTCACATGACGGAGGTTGGTCTCCAACTCTACGGTCCACGGAAGCTTCGAGTTGGGAAACTGCGGCAATGGCGACACTCGTGCTCTTTCATGCCGTTTGCCAGAACTTCCACACCCAACAGCCGGGATAGCGACGTCCGAGAGCACAACAATGTGGCTTCTGCGCCGTCATTTGTTACCGCTCTGGGACCACTTTTGCAGCACGGGCGGCATAGAGCAGTGAACGCATTGTTTGGAGAGGTGTTCCGTGCACTATAACGAGGGGGAGTGGGGTGGGCGGCGGGCGCCTCCTCACCTGCTGGAGGTCCTTCTCGAGCCGGCGCTTCTGCTGGCGCTCGTAGTCGATTTCCTGGCGCAGGTGCTCCCGCTCCTTCTCCAGCAGGAAGGTCACGTCGTCCCCCTGGGCCGCGTCCCTCACGCGCTTGCCCCGCTCTTCGTCCAGCTCGCGGCACAGCTGCGAGGACGCCGAGGCAGTAATTTTATACGAGTATGACAGCAAACAGTCTTAGCAACGGTGGTTGGAACTGTTGTTCAGGGTGGTTTCGGCACTACTGGGAGAGGTAGCGGGGTCGCGTTCCTTGCGCAGTCAGAAAAGCTTCCATTGCTTTCAAGCGAGAGCAAATCCGTAAGGAACGTGACTGTCTAGCCCGATCGTGACCAAGGGTATGGTGCCAGAAAGCGTAGAATTAACATAATATTCTAGAAAAAAAAAAGCTTTCGAGCATTCCGGCCACTTCGAAATACACGCGGACGTTGGGGATCCGAGTGGGTGGTCGCGACGGGCCCATATCGCCGGTGACGCCCAAATATACGCAAAGCAGCAGCAAAATGTCTCCCGTAAGCTCCATACCTACACCTTGTCTAGCTTATTTTGCAGAAAAATATCTACATCACGCATCAGATAAAAATAAGTTTGATAAGCACTCAAACAACTTCAACTCGTCACGGCAAGAACATGCCCAACCTATCACCTGCTTTCTTTCTCCGCTGCTCCGTAGCTCTCCTTTGTCCCGTGACCACCGATGTCAGCGCTTATGATTTGCCGCGTTCTGGTCCCGTCTTCACATCCCCCCCCTGTACCAGCGGAGTGCCCACCTTTGCACAGCGCTGCTCGAGGGCCCTGAGGTCCTCCCGGGTGCGGCCCTGCACCCTGCGGTGTAGCGCGATCAGGTGCTCCAGGTGGCAGAGCTGCAGCCCGTGCAGGGCCCGCACAGAGGCGGCGTCGAAGCGTCCGTCGTACGCCTTCAGCACGTCCCGCTGCAGCGAGGCCCAGGGGTCGCCCCCCGAGCCACCCCCGTTGGGGCCACCGCACCCGCCCTTGCCGCGCGGGTACAGCAGCTGCTTCACCTGCTCCGCCTGCCACGGGAACAACGGTGGCGTGAGCGATGGATCCTCGTAAAAGAATGCAGTACCAACTGGTGAAAATAAATATTGTAATCATTTTATGTGAAAACAACTTTGTTACATTTGTACTGCACTGCTCGGACTAGTGAGATACCGCTTGGCCTATCATTGCTGCAGTCTGTTGTGGCGACGAAAGCACCTTGTTTAAGAGCAGGGGTGTCCATTAGGGTTTTCCCGCAGGTTTTATCTGTTAACCGTACAACTGTACGAAATAGTCAAAATTCGGGAGCCAGCCGGGTAATACGGGAGACTTGACAGGTACGAGTTCTGCCTTCAACACTCTGATGGCGGTCACGAAACCGCATTTCGTCGGAAACCGTCGCTTTCGCGCGTCAATGGCTGATCAGAATTGGTTCTCCGGTCACCTCATCATTCTTGCTCGATTTGGTTCAGTATCGATAGTGTGAACGTGAGAACTGATCGATATAAAGTTGCAAACCACAAGTCCTTCAGTTAAATTAACACCAACAAAAAGCTTTAGAGCCAAACTTGTGCCCCAATATAGATTGGACCACACTCCGAAATAAACTCTTACTTGGCCGTTGTATTTAACTACTCATGTGTCGTGATTTACCGACGTCTCGAACATACAGGCCCCATTTACAGGGTGTTTCACGAAAGGTGGACAAATTCGATATTACGAAAACTATGCGTCGCAAGAAAAAAAGGCTTGTGTCGTTTTGGTCCTGGGCCAAGGGCCCAATTAGGAAAAATATTGAAGTCCGGGATAATTAAGTTGTTAATTATTTTTGCGGAATTAAGTTTTTTAATATTGTGTTTAAGGGCATGGTTTCAATTCGAAAATTGCTCAGCATCATCGAAAAACACTAAATCAACAAATTGAAGAACGATACAAGGCACGCGCAGTATTTTGCGGCTTTCTGAAAAACCACACAAATTTGACAGGTTTTCAAGTTTCGGTTTGATATCAGAGTGCATCTCGGCCCCGACGGAACCGCGCCCCGTGGAAAAATAGTGCAACCAACCTCTGCTGCGCTGTCCTCGCGCAACGCAGCAGAGCCTGGTTGCACTATTTCTCCACGGGGCGCGGTGCCGTCGGGGCCATTAGTTTGGCACAGACGCCATACACTGGGAAAGGATGGATGGATGCTAACGGCTGTGTCCTTCATAATGGGCGTTAGCTCGCAGTACCTGGCATGATGATGATGACGGTAACAATCAAAGTTGCCAGACCAAATTTCGGAAGGGGTCTACTATACCACCTAGAAGACAACGCCCGTGTATGACGTCATCGGTAGTGGATTCCCGACCCGTTCCAAGCGGCAGACAGATTGAAGCTCAATGAGAGACACCGCAAAGCAGTAGAAAAGTCCGTCTCGGCGTCGCCGACGCGAGCTAGACAGTGCCGCGTAAATCCAACGACGACGACGTCTGGGCGTTAAAGACACGGACCTCGTCTCGTGGGTGCTGTCGCCTGAACTCACCTTGAGAACAGCGATGACCACTTCTCTGGCCTGCAGTTCTCCTTCGAGCACGCTCAGCAGCTTGAGCAGGTCAGCCTTGCTCAGCTCCATCTTGGGGTGCCTCTGCGCGGCGTGGAAAAACGAACACAAACCTTAATCCGACGCCGCTTTTGCCAGATGCCAGAAGAGGAAGAGAGAGAGCGACATGCCGACACCGCACTCCAGAGAAAACAAAATCCCTTACAGAGGCAGGAAGTGCTCTGATCCAAAGCCGCAATATGCGAAGAAGTTCCGTCGTCCCGCCACTGGCTTCCTACTTTCGATAACACTCTGGTGTCTGGTTAAAGCGTGCAAATGCAGCCACAGCATGACAGAAGGCAACGAGCGTGTGCTGAAGGCAGGGCATGCAAAAAAAAAAAAATGCGTGCCCTGCACTTCTAGCCTTCTCAGCTAGTATGGATGGCTGATCACGTGAAGCATTCAATGTCCCATAGTCGCCGACAGAATGAGAAATGGTCGCCAACAGAATGAGAATGGCGGGGAAACTCATTGGAACGCCCGTAATCCAGCACGTGTCTTGTGCCCTTCGTCGCGCTCTGAGTGCGCGCGTGTGCTCCAGCCGCACGAAACGTCGAAGCGTTGTCGAAGATTCAATGGTGGTCACGAAATCTTCGGCAAAGAATAGCTAAGCATACCAGTTAACATCAAATTATTTATCCAAAAGGAATGATCATGTGCACAAGATACGCAAATGCTGCACCAGGACGGCTCTGCAAAAATTAATTTTATGTTAGGACGGTCAAAGACTGGAATGCTTAGAAGAATGTATAGTTTGTACTGCAAATGCTAAAACTTTCTTTTCATTATTTTCCCCCCCTGCAATAATGCTTTCCAGGTGCTGCAGGAGTTTTCCGAATAAAACGATGAAAGGATGTAGGAAGCTTGTGCTGGAGGCGGGACAACAGGAGCTCCTTCCCGCCGTCCTCACCTTGTCAGTGACTAGAGTGCAAATAAAGACGCCATTTGGGCTTATGCAAACGATCCCATGAGGATCACCCTACCCTGTGAAGGGAAGTTGACATGCGGGCTCTTTTTAGAGTTTTCTGGAGTGGCAGTAATCCACGGCATGGCCTCAGGAACGCAGTTGGTCTCAGTTAAATGCTCATCAATTTCTGCGCAAGGCCTGTTGTTGCTTGCCGGAGATTCTCCATACAGTGATTTTTGTTTATATTTCGCTTACGAAATAAAAAAAAAAACAAATCCTGCTGCTCGAATTGGGCAACTCTGGCCAATTTCAAGAAATTTGGGTTAGTGGTTGATTATATATCCAGAGGTAGCAATAAACGGTTCTACGTCATTTTCTTCCAAATGAGTGTGACATTTCTCTAAGGCTCATTCACACGGTTGCGTTCAAGTGCAACTGCAACCACTTGCGCCTCGTTAAGACTGCCTGCGTCGAGCTGTTGCCTATGGCGATACTTACAATGAGCCAAGAGGAAAGCGCTGTGCAGCAGAACGCAACTCAGTCTGTGAACGAGCCTTTCAAGCCCACCACAAACCGAAACCTTGCCTGCGGCAGCAACATTTCCCCTGTGTCATCAACTACATGCTCTAACCACATGGTACAAATCGTGATGTCACGCACCAGGCGGCAGAGCATAGCTCGGCGCGAGGGCGAAGTGTCGTCTGCTACACCTCACGACGTCTGCACTGTCGCGGCCGCAGCTCGCGTTTTAGTGCAGAAAAAGGCTAGTTTTTCCGAGGGCTTGTTTCAAAAACATTATAGAAAGTGAAGTTCAGTAAACTACACATAAATATGTCGCAACGGGTTTGTAAAAGTATGCCGCGCTCAACGTCGCGAACGTGCTTTATCGCACGTGACAAATGCTAACGGCGATGACACATGCTAGCATGGGAGCACACAAGTGCATGCATACTCCACGAATCACGTGGCCAATGACGAACGCATTGCTAGCACCGCCTGCAGGCTTTGCTTGAACAAGTATGAAACAAACAAACAAATTTTCCCAAGCCCCTCGATCGTTACGTAGGTAGCGCAGGGTAGGTTGTTAATACAGTGGTATTCACTGTGCTGGTTGCTGTACCGCGACTGCTAGGATTAGCAGATTTTGGCAATTTTGCCCACCTCAAGCTTTGTTTGCCAGTTTCCTTAACCTTTAGAGGGAATTAACTTGAAATATCTGGTGTGCAGTCTTTTTGTAGGCGATACTACTAAAGAGAATTGTTTTCTTAATTTTGAAAATGAACCGGAGTTTCCCTTTAATGGCCGACATACAACCTCGGTTTTCTGCAGGGAACATAATCCTCTTAACACTCCCCCTCTACTAAGCGGCAAGAGAAGCCAAGTAGGGGCAAGGTAAAAAGTGGAGAGAACATAGAAAAGGAGGTGAGAAAAAGTGGAAAGCGTACGTCGGCCTTTAAGCAGACGACAAATTTGTACATGACGCAATTTCTGCGCCTGCAGACATAAGTCCCGAGTGTCATGTAGAGTCCCAGTCTATGTTGCACCTAGACTATGGCTGTGGAGCGTATGTTCAGACTCGGGAAACACCATCCTGAAACATCGATACGACTATGCTTCGTTTCACCGTAACTCGGCAAAGAGCGAACACTACGGCCCTCTCAAGCCAATCGGAGCAACGGAGGAGAATGGTGCCGCATGACTGAATTGTGTCGTTCTGCACTGTGCTTTCCTATTGGCTTGTCGTAAGTGTCGCTATAGCAAAAGCTCAACGCAAGCAGTCTTAACAAGGACTTCAACGGAGGTACCGGAGCGCGCGCGTAACCCAAGCAGTTGGAGAAGAGGGGGAGGATGAACTTCCCTCTTATCCAGACCATCTTTTCTGTCTCGAATGTCACTTTTGTCTCCCTAGAAGATTAGCGGCTCACTCGACATTTGCCCACAAGCGGTTCCCCTCTCTCTCCCGTCTACGGCTTCGATGGCACTGTGCGCAACTAGTCACTAGTCTCTGTTTGACGTGCTGATTAGCTGACTGCGACCATAGTTTTTGCCGTTCGCCAATTTATGGTGAGACGAAGTCTAGTTTTTGAGACATAGCAACAATTGCTTACGCTAGTCTGTACTTTTTACGCTGTTTAAAGCTTGCTGATGTCGGAGATAGCGTCAGGCTGCAAAGCAGATGCTTGGAACCATGCGTGATCGGAACGACGTGACCAGTCTGCGAGTGGTTCCGGATGCAAGATGCGGGAAAGGTTTCCAGTCTCCGTTCCTCCTTTTCATATCAGTTTTAGTTCAAATTGTGGGTGATTGCGAGTCATTGTCAGAGCTCTCGCAAACCTCTGTCTTTTGCCCATTCAATCCGTAGAAACCAGGTGTTCCAGATAAGCACTCATAACAATCAAAATCAGCACTGGACACCTGCAGCCATGCAGATAAGATCAGGAATAACCATGATTAAATTTAACATCAACGTTTCGATTAATTACTGTTGACGGTGTCCGCATGAACCCACCTTATCCCAACACGGATATTCCGATCGCCTACGGATAAATCTCGATTCAGCCGCGGACGCAAAAGTTTTGACCTCGTATCGACACAAACTTGAGCGAAATTCCAAAAGCCCCTCCAATCCGAAAGACGCCGAGTCAACCGCGCGTCGAGGAGATTCTGAACCCCGCGCCCACCAACAGATCACGAACACTTCCAGAGCATTTGAAGCGACGAGAGTTGGATCCTACGCTCTTACCTGACGCAAACCAACAGCGGGAACTTCACAACAACAACGGCAGTACAGTTACCGCACCGCGCGGTGACCAACACGCGAAGCACACACACACAACGGTACTTCTGTGCCCCTACCATTCAACAATGACGAGTCGAAACTTGGGATCGCGCGTCGGATTCTTTGTCGAGCCATCAAACGCGACGTTCACCGCGTCACTTTAGCTTTTCCGGCCAGCGTCGGCTCTCTAATCGCCCATCATCTGTACGAAGCGGTTGACGCGGGCTGGGCTGGCGGAAGGAGAAAGCCAGGCAAGGAGAAAAGCGTGCCCGAAATAAAGAGAAACTAGGCCTTACCTTGAGAGTGCTGCTTGTGAGTTTGTCAAAGCCCTCGTAGGAGCCCAACGCCGTGCCCGGCTGGGGCTTGCCTCTGCCTGCCATATCGGTGACTCGCTTCCGCGGAAAGGGTTGTGTTGTTCCGCTGAAGACGGACAAAAGATGATCGACGGAGGAGCTAGAGGCGACGGATGGGTCGGGCGGCTGTGCAGCTAGCGCGACGGCGGCGGCGGCACGGCCCAACAACGGGACTTTGTGACCAGGCGCCCATTCCTGTCATGTCGTTAGCTTACTGCCCCCGCGCTCGGCGGTGACGGCAGGAAAGGAAAAAGAAGGAGAAAGCGAGGCCCTCCTACGGAGTGGACCGGCGGGAGAAGCACAAGTCAGCCGCCGCCACCATGTTTTCACCACACGACTCTCCTTTTCTTGTTTTGTGTGTCTTTATTTTCTTTGAATTAATAATCACGTGACGTGTGACGTATGTGTCACGTGGTTGGTGATTTGGATTGTATTGGATTTTAGTGACAGCTTGTTTTGGGCGGTTGTTAGTTTCGGTTCTTTAAATTTGATTCTCGAAGAGGAGTGACAGATGTCACTCCTTCGACGGGCGTCGGAGGAAGTGCGGCCTTGATTCTCAGCTTTTCCCGCATTGGTGAGGGTGCAGGCTAGCTGGTGTAAATTGAGCATAGTTGTAAACCCGAGACTGGAGATACGGACAAGGGACTAAACACAGAACGACACGGACTTTTGGTTTTGGTTTAACGCTTTTCTAACCTTTGCGAAGGAATGTACGCAGAATAGCAGGAACGTAATGATTATCTGATAATATTAGATGGTGATAAATTTGTTCAATCCATGTTTCAGACAACTCAAGTTCATGGTTGAAAAAACCCCGAGACTGCGGTTACACGACACAACACTAAAAAATCTAAACTTTTTAGAGGTTAGTGTTGTTTCGTTTACCCGCAGTCTCGGGTTTTTTTTTTTCAACCATGTGCGATGAACACCAGCTCGTTTGCGCCCTTACATTTTGTTCAACTCGAGTTCGTTGGCTTCAAAGACGGTGCACTGCGCTTGATAACGCCTCTTGTTCTCGCAACGCGCAGTCCTCAACTGTTGCCAAATACTAAAAAAAAAAAAAAGAAAAAAAAAAGAGATATATACGTTTAGGGAGAGAACAGAATGTTCCTGTAATCTCCCTGAATCTTTGTATCTTACGACTAACCCGCTCGTCCTGACTTATAAAATAGCTAGTGTCTCGTAGAGATTGACTGTCGTGATATAAAAATAAAACGGAGGGCCAGGAGAAACCAACCAGTGACCGTTCTCGGCCTCCGAGTCCACGTGATGAACAAAATAAAATAAACGGTGATTGAGAAATGAACGGACACGAGGAAGAAAGGCTAATGCAACATCACATTTCCTGCACACTCATCGCGTGCCAAGAAAAAGTTGTTCTTCCTAGCTTAGCCGTCCTACAAGATGACCCTGGGCCGAAAACCAAAGGAGAAGACAAAACTCATAAGCGGAGGACAAGCCACCACCCTTCCTTCCTTTAGTAAGGCGGAAACACATCAAAGGGCAGAGGAACTACCAAAAGCCAAGAGACAGTGGTGACGTTTGAAAGGGAAAGTCTGTTTTGAAATGCCTGCCGCCTGTCCGCGTGCCCCGCATGCTCGCTTCGTTTTGTTGTTATGTTATGTGTCGCAACCACGTGACTTGGAATCAGGCGATAGTGACGTCACACGTCACACCAGTTTCTTCAAGCCGTCAGCATGCGAGGTGTTTCCCGACCCAGTAATGTTTCGGAAGCGGTAAGCCCCGACGTTGGGACGATTTTGGACGGAGCTTGAACCCGTACGGACCCCGTTTGAGCCCCGGGCCTGTGCGAAAAGGACCTTAGCAGCGATGTTCAGGCACCGAGCGTGGATCGCCCGTTCCAACGGCTGCACTGCTAGGCGGACGAACAGGTGATGATCACTCGGAATGCGTTATTTTTAGCTCGCTACGTTAATGCAAAGAGAGAACCAACGAGGTTCCGATTTTTCGGTCGATCGAGTGTTGCGAGAACTGCGAAAGTACCTTTTAAATTCGAAGCAGCGAGGGGATCGGCTCCGGGTCCACGGTTCGTGCTCTCGCGTGTCTTTTTTTGTTTGTTTTGATTGTGTCTATTCTAGTGACTTCTCAGCCTCTTGAGGTGGTGGAGGATGACCGTTTTGTGACAGTGGATATTGCTGATGGTGTGACTGCATTCGCGGTTGCAAGTCTGTTATTATCGTGAAGGACGCTGCGGGCTTATCGACATCGGATGTCGATAACCTTTGTCCACACCTTGTAGTGCATTTTTATCTCTTTTTTTTTGTCTTTTGTTGTGAAAATTAGCCTGAGATATAGAATAGACACAACCCGATACCGTTGAAGACTTCTGTAGATGTCAGTTTATATTCATCACGGTACATGTTCACGCAATATTTATTATTGCGGGTGTTGTGACTCCTTATCCTAACGACTTATTTTTAATGTGTACGGCCTGCTGTTATGCAGACTATAGAAAAACATGTTGCGTTCGTTCCCGTTTTTTTGTTTCTTTTTTTTTTTTTTGCAAACCGTTTGTGTGGGTTGTATGCAGTAATACACCTACGTATTACCAACTCTGCTTTACAAACAACTACACAATCAGAAACAGGAATAGAAGGTTAGCATTGACAATACTGCTGAAGGGTATGGCCACTGCTAACCGTCTTTGGGTCAGTGCCAGTCTTTTAGTTCCTGTTCCTGAATTTGTAATTTTTTATCAAATTGAGGCTGTCGACAATACTGTTAAACGGTACGATTGAACGCTGCCAATCTTCTCTTCCTGTTACACAATTTATAATTGCTTGTAAAACCAAAGTCAGTGGCCACACCAGTAGACAACATTGTCAACAGCACATAAATGCAGGGGATCGAACGACACGGCACCATTTATCCTCACACCACGTGTACCTACTACAACACCTAAGCCCTGTCTCCGTAATCATGTTGCATTTGTAAGCCCTACAAAATACAAAAGACACGGCGTTCACTGTAGGCACGATGACAGAATTATATGAGAACGTGCTCCAAGCATGTTCGAAGCACGTCTGCTTCACACATGTGCGGGCTTCTAACACACCTGCAGACATTTTTTGTACGACCAACGCAACAGGGCCGTCACATTCGGCAGAAACATGCCTTGGACAGCGTCTGCAAACTTTCTTTTGCGTGATGTACTTAGCGGTCTGACCGCGGCTTCACTGTACTTCCACCGCCTCTGCAGAGTGAAAAAGGGGACCTGCATGCAGCTGGTACGGCGGAACAGCACTTCCAAATGGCTGCCGAACCCATACTGGTCGTCCAAGGGAACCACTTCGGCAGCGGAACGCCTCCAGAAGCGGAGCCGGCTCGTCAGTGGCGCTTTCTCCCTCGCGGAGAACATGTCCGCCTTTCTGGACGGCCAGATCCAGCGGGCCTTGACGGCATTGCGGTCCAGAGCCGCGCTGCCGTCTCTCTTCGGCGCCGACTCCGGCCAGAAGCGGGGACAGGAGCAGATCTTCCCACGCCTCGGTGTGCAGGAAGGCCGTAACTTGGCAGACGGTGACGGCGGTTTTTCCGACAAGGCAGTGGCACCGGCACGAAGCGACCTCTCGATCGGGGACTTCGTGCGGGCACGGGAGGCCGAGGTGGACAACGTCCTTGCGGAGCTCGAGGTGTCCCAAAAGAGGGTGCCGCGGGAGGATTCGAAGCCGCAGGCGGATGCTAAGACTGCCGCGGAAGTGGCGGGCAGGGTGCCGGTTTTGTCGCAGGTCGGTTCCTTCGTGTTTCTTGTCTTTCCGTCGAGACAGCCAGCTTTCTTTATAACGCAAAATCTGTTCCCGTGTGGCTGGCTCGTATGGTCGAGCAGTTTAAGGCTGGTTCACACACTTGCGACTATTCTTGACCGACTGTTAAAACCTCTTGTGGTCTCTTACGACAAGAACACTCACAATTTTCATTTGTTTCCTACTAAAGCTGAGGCTTGGGCAAGTTGATACATACTTCAGATTTACAAACAGCGCGAAAGACGAGGACCAGACAAAGAAGTGACACGGACGCAACGTCCGTATCACTTTTTTGTCTGGTCCTCGTCTTTTCGCGCTGTTTTTAATTCCGAAATTGTTTCCTACCTTGTTCGCGCATCATTCTTTCTTTCTTGGCTCGAAAAACTTTCGGCAACGTTATAAACGACCATTCCTCATAGATAGTATGTACATTTCATCTCCCAAATGCTGCAACGCCTTTGCTCCAAGTCTAACGAAATGCTGTTCCAGGAACCCCTCATAGGTGGCTCCGGCGTTCTGACGTGTTCTCTCTTCGTAAAAGATCACAAGAACTCTTGCCACAATCATGTTGGTTGCGGAGCGATAATGAGATGTTTGGGTGCTGCCACGCCCTGCGTTTCTTAAGCTGTCGGCGTGTATGGCAGTTTCCTGTAATGCAGATACCTATAGTGCCCTCGTATAAGCACGAAATTTCGTCAGTATAAGAAAAACCGTGGAAGTGCTCAATTTCGACCCGGGGCCCGGCCAGTCGCACATCCATTGCCGAACCAGCTGTGCCAACAGCGCACATCTGTCGTCGCGAGGCAGCAAACGTGCTTGTACATGTGGTGGGAGGCGAGAAAAAGCAGAACAAGCATGTGCTTCGGAGGAAACGGGGGACGAGAAACGGCAAGGTTGAAGCTGAGGGTGTGTGACTGCAAGAGATCCAAACTTCGGGTTCCACCTTCTCTAGCTTTGGAGGGGCTCTCCATCAGAGATGCTGCACATAATAGTGTTTGTCGTTGAGGCTCAACATGCATGCAAAGTTCATTTGTGTAGCATCGCCGCGAAGCAATGCGCAATGCAATCCGTGTTACCACTGTGTTTGTTTATCCCCTTCTACTATAGTGTAGTGCAGTGGTTCCCAAATAGGGGTCCCCGGACCCCAGGGGGTTCGCGAAGCCACTTCTGGGGTCCGCGAGACCCTCAACAAAAATTATTTTTTTTTTTTAGTTGGCACGTTTTTTGTAGTTTGAAGCGCGAGTGTGCCTCGTATTGATGAACTGACCAGAATGAAGTGATGTGGCACCTTTGTTTTATGTTTTTCTGCTACATATCAATAAAAGGCACCTGTTTCATGCTCTAGATGTGTTAACTTACTAACGTCCCCCCCCCCCCGCTGGAAGTGGTCTCCCATCACTGCCAGCGGTCCGCAAGGGGTCCCCGACACATCCATGGCTGAGAACCACTGGTGTAGTGGATCAATGACGCAACAATCCATAGGATGTCGGGAAAAACATTGTGCACCAGAACGAATTAGTTTATGCCGAAGTCTTTTTGACAGGAACGTGCATTGATAATAGACAAATGCAATCATCCCCTAGATAAGGAAACGTGAGAGTGTTCAGTGTGTCCTTGTGTTGCATTTGGTGGTGTGGGCATTGACGGAAATGTATGTGGGGATCGGGTTAGTAACCAAAATACACCCAAAATGCTACTTTAACCATAAAGTATTGTTCAAAAGTGTTCAAACCATAAAGTATTGTTCAAAAGTAAAGTTCAAAAGGCAGAGACGGTAACTCACGTTACCGGCTCTGCCTTTTCGGCACACGGCCCTTTTGAGTGACCTCTGTAGATCGTGGGGCGTGACCCTCCACTTCTGGGCCCTACCTCTTCCAGTTGGAGATGGACCAGAAGACGCGCCACCTGCTAAAGGCCGTCGTGGTCGCCACCAGCGCCCCCTCCCAACTGGCGAGGCTCACCGAACTCAACGACCACATCCTCAGCTGTCCACGGAGCCAGTGCATCCTCGTTAAGGTAACCTCGCTCGTCTTAACGACACGCCTGCGATACGGTAGATTGGAGCTGATCACACATTGGGCACGCCGTACGTGCGTTGCATCATAAAGGCTCGTTAATACACTTGCATTTCAGTGTGACCCAAGTGCATTCCGCCCATTTAGACTGTTGGACCGCAAGAGTACATTGGGAATAGTTCTAGAACCCTTCTGATCTGCGGACGACTAAACTGGAGGTTTTTCCAGCATTTGCGAGGCCAAATCTATGCGCCATCTACGAGAAATGGTCGCTTATGACGTTGTCATAACCATAATTTTGGCCCACAACGCGGCAGATTGGTGACGAAGTTACAAAAGGAGTCTCGTAAGTGTGTTATAGATGATACGAAATAGGTTCTCATGTTGCAGGAGCGCGCGATTGCCCACCTGCTGAGGCTACGGCAGTACTCCAACAACGCAGCGGTGGTCGCGACGGCGCGGGAGACGCTGGCGCTCCTCGGGCACGTCGACCCGCCCAAGGGGAGGGGCATCCGCATCCTGGCCATCGACGGTGGAGGCACCAAGTGAGTCGTGCTGTCCCCTTCCCCTTGGAGGCATTCAGTTCAATTCGTACGTGCCACTGCCCACCTTCCATGTAGAGTAGTATTTGGGGGTTTTACGTGCCGCATCAGAAAAGGGCAGCAAAGGACCTAGGATTGATTTCGATCACCTAGGGATCTTTAGACATGCACGTGAAGTTCAATAAGCATCTGCTAGATAGCGGGTTGAACACACACTTTAAGTATCCGTAGGCCGATGCTTTGCCTCAAAGCCACCGAGGTGGCTTCACTTTCACACCGGGTAAAAGTCGAGGGGGTGGTCGGACGTGTCCCGTGCAGTAGTGATTGCACAAATGCTTGCCAGTGCGATGTTTGGGTATTTAGAATGATCCTCTTCTTTCCTGCACTATTGTGGCAAAGTCGGTGGTAACACGGAATGTATTGCATGTTGCCTCACGATAACGTCTCACGGAGGAACTCGGCATGCATTTTGTACCTCGACAATGCGAACATTGTCTTGCGTACCATCTTTGAAGCTAAGCCCTGCCAAAGCTAGTACTTTTCAGGCATTAGTTTAGTTTCCGTAAAATCCCGAGCACACGCCCACTCAAAATTTTGAGATAATCATGTAAAACTGGGGGATAGGCACTCCTTAGGTTCAACAATATGTAAATCTATGCCCTTTGTCTATTTTCCGAATGTTACAAAATTGAGGGTTGGGCGCTTATTGTGGAATGGGCGAATGCCCTGTATTTTACGGTAGGCAAAGTAGAAGGGATTGTTTTGGTGGTCCCTCTAAAATATGTGGTTCTTCGGATACGCTTAAAAAAACTGGGACTAGGGAAACAATTTTTTTTTTTCTACCTGGTTAGGACGAAAGAATCTCGAAATAACTGTTCGTTAAAAAAAAAAATAAAAAAATTATTTTCCGTAATATTTATGTTACAATACAAATTTTTCGATTTGCGGGCGAAAACGAAATTGTACTTCTGTGCGATGATGATGTTAGCATTTGTACCCAACTGTACTCCATTCACCCTTAAATGCCGACATACACTTCTCACTTTACACTTTTGCCCTCCTCCTCCTTTCCTCTCTACTTTTTACCTTGCCCCAACTTGGCTCCCCTCGCAGCTTAGGAGAGGGGAACGCTAAGAGGATTATTTTCCCTGCAGAAAACCACAACCAAAGCACTGCGGAAGCCAGCGAGCTCGCGTTGAAGGCAGAGCGGAGCTTTCAGTCTCGGCTTAAGGGCGAACGGAGTATAGTGTGCGCTCAGGGTTCGCTGGGCCTCAGAGCGCGCACTAATTGGGTACAAAGTTTCAGTTTCGCCCGCAAATAAAAACATTTGTATTGTGGCATAAATATTGGGCAAACATATATATATATCTTTTTTTTTTTTTGACAAACTATTAATTTGAGACATGCCTGTGCTAACTATATACAGTCGCCGACCGATTATTCGGACTACGCATGGACCAACAGTTTCAGTTTCGCCCGCAAATAAAAAAAAATTGTATTGTGGCATAAATATTGGGCAAAAATATATATATATTTTTGACAGACATGCCTATCCGTAACTATATACTATAGGGGGTATTCATTGAGCCTGCAGGTTCGATATTGCCAAAGAGCGCCACCGTCGATCCGCCATCTTCGAGGTTGCAGTTTGACTAGCTTGGGTACTCGGTCGTCAGTTGGTAGTGTGTTTTAATTTCATATCGTTGAAGAAGCTTCGTTGAACAGAAGAGAGAAAAAAAGTTAATCTCGGGGGCGGACCGTTTTAATTCCTCTGTTGCCGCGGAGTACCATGTGTAAAGTATAAACCGCATGTAAGCGATTTAGCGAGCGATGAGACAAGTGGCAGTGACCCGCTTCGCTGTCACTCGGTCATTCACGCAACGGGGTAAACCATATGAAAGCGGCAGGAGCAAGCAACCAAGGCGATGAGCAGCGTTTTCTAGAAATCCAGAAACCCAGTGACAGTGAGAAATCTTTTTCGGAGACTATCGTCGCCGTCGCTCGTCTCATCGCTCGCTAAGTCGCTCACATGTGGTTCAGCCTTCACTGTCGCTGATCGCGTAACTTGTTTTTTGGATTTCTAGACAATGTCGCTCATCGCCTTGGTTGCTTGATCTTGTCGCTTTCATGCGGTTTGCCTCATCGAGTGAGTGACCGAGTGACAGCGAAGCGGGTTGCCGTCGCTTGTCTCGTCGCTCACCAAATCTTTTACATTTGGTATTTACTTAAATCGTTTGAGCGATGGTTAACTACGTAGTTGTAGAATGCTCTAATTACACACAGGAAAAGCCTAGCGACGAAAACTTTGCAAAAGTGGGCTTTTTCCTCACCCAAAAAGTAGTGACTAACAGGTGTGAGAGGATAGCAGCCTTAACCCCTTGCCTACTCATTTTTTTTCTTTAAAGATCGTACAGAAAGCTTTATTTAAATCAAGCAATTTGCGTCAAAATAAAGAAAAACGTTTCCTTGGCTTACAGGTGTAGTCTCGTGCTCTATACCAGGACTTCTGGTCGTCTCCTCTTCTTCAGTAGTTCTTCACAGTATGGTAGAAATCGAGAGATTAGCAGAAACCTCACATAGGACATCGTTTTGCCGAAAATTGGGGTCTCCACTATGGACCTCTTGGACCAGTTCATTTTGACTGTATGTTTTTTCACTTACATCATAATGATGCACAAGGCAAAGTATGCCTTTATCTCATCTGGAGTGGTGTCAAACCATTGCTCCTCATAGCATTTCTTGGGACGATCCTCGTCGCCCATCTCGTGTTCGGCGTAGCGATTTGTCTCAGCAGAGACAGATGCCCAAAAATCATGACTTGCAAACACGGAAAAGGTCGACAAGGCGCTTGTCTTCTCACCAAGACTGCGTTGAACCCTTGCTGACACGCCTGGGGTTTCTACAAAGGTGAACTGAGCAGGCTGGTTGTCCCTCTTCTCCCAGTTCCACTGACGTGCAGACGCCAAAGTCGATGAAATGCTTCCAGGATTCGCATCGTTTTCAACACTTTTCTCACTGTTCGTTGAACTCTCATCGGATTCCGAGTAATCGGAAAAACAGCAGGATTCGTCGTTAGAAATACTGGCGCATTCATCACTTCCAAAAAGAAGTCTTTGTATATCTTCGTCCGCCAAAGCAGACCTCCGCGCCGAAGACATGTTTTTGGCGCGCTTGCTTACAATAGCGCGCTTATTTTTTGTCAATGCAGCGCCCTCTTTCTGTCAAAAGGCAAAGCAAACAAGAAAAGAACCCAAGGTAAACAGGAGCAACAGGGGTAGTGCTGCCATCTGCCGCAGAGCTCACAAAACAAGCTCTGAAACCGAAACACGAGTCACACTCGTGGTCGGGTTTTATGGTCCGTAAATGGCGGCACGAGTGACACTCGTTATTAGTAGGCAAGGGGTTAACTTCGACAAATGCGCCACTTGCTAATGAAAAATGTACCACATTTTTCATTAGCGGCATACATGGTGAGCTGCGCGGTATGTTTCTGCACAAGAACGAACACCGTAGGCGCGACATGGAGGTGATGGAGCAGCACGGTCTCACGGCTGAGGTAAAGAGAGTTCGCTAGAAACCAAAAAGAAATACAACTAGCAAAACAAAACAAAAAGTAATCCGACTGTGCTTTGAAAGCACTAGAGTAGAAAAATCACAGTTCTTGCACAAGAGCCACCGCCGTGGGCACGGCACACGACACGGAGCGTCAACACCTTAATGGAGCCGATGGAGCGACACGGTCGCAGTGGACAAGTCCGCTAGCGACAAAAACAAGCTAACAACACAAAAAATATTCCTACCGTGCTTCAAAAGGAAGAAAAACAAACCCTAGTGTTGTTTAAAAAGATTTTTCGAACTCTTAAAATGCTGCTAAACCATCCTGAAAGGTCCGGTCACATGACAGCTGACTGTTACGTGGGATAGAAAGAGACCTCAAAGATGGCGACCGTGGTAATCGATGCCAGTGCCCCTAGCGAGTGACGTCAAGTGAATGTCGCCTATAGTTTCAGTGTCGTTTTAATGGCACTTGTACGTGAGCGACGTGGCTGCCTCACCGCTGCAGGGGCATGCTGGCCATCGAGATCCTGCGTCAGCTGGAGCTGTCCACGGGGCGACGGGTGTTTGAGCTGTTCGACTATGTGGCTGGTGTATCCACGGGGGCCATCCTGAGCTTCCTGTTGGCTGGCCTGCACACCTCCCTGGACCGCTGCGAGTCCCTGTACCGTCGCATGAGCCTGCAGGTCTTTACCCAGAATGCCTGGTGGGGCACCGGAAGGCTCGTCTGGAGCCACGCCTACTACGACACCTCTCACTGGGTGACTGCACTCCGGTGAGGAGCCCCTCTCTCTCAAAAACAATGAAAGAGACAAAGCCGAGTTGGACGTTAGGTCAATCTGCCTTTGAGGGGCGGCGAAACTGGTTTACGCTGCAGACGAGAAATTTGGCCCGTAAAGTATGACGGCTAGCCTACTACAACACCTTGCCCTTGGTAAAGGCTCTTCGGTGAGGAGCCCCTTTCCCTAACTAAAAAACAAACAAATTTGACGTTTGTTTTTATACAGCATAAGGTCGGCCTGCCTTTGAGGTGTGGCGACTCTGGTTTACACTCAAATGGAACTGAGGAGTGTGTTGATTTAATGATAAGCAACGCCGAAAGGATAAAACGCACATCTGGTCGTACGTCCCAGATGTGCGTTTTGTTCTTTCAACGTCAGTTACGGTTTACACTGTAGATGAGATATTTGGCCAGTGCAGTAGCAATACGCGGCCTCACGCCGGCATGGACAGGGGTGGGGATTGAGCGCAGGACACCTGGGTTCTGCAGTGCGAGCCTTTGCTTCACAACCTCCGAGCAGCGGTGCACTCACACTGGGCCGTTGATCCCCCCCCCCCCCCCCCCCCCCCAGTGGAAGCGAGGTTGGGCTTTGTGTAGCTGTAACTGTACCATGCAGTCGTTGGCCAAGTCTAGCGAGCAAACGTCTCGCTAAATTTAGCAGATTGCCGTTATGGGTCACATACGTTGGTTTTAGCCGATTCACACGACAGACGGAATTGTGATTTTTGTCCGAGGACCGTGTATCCCGTGACTGTCACGTCACCGATTCCTGTGATCCGTGCCTCGTTTGTAGGTGCGTGGGCTTATGAAGCCAAGCGCGGATTTTTGGCAGGAGACTGACTTGAAAAGTGTTGTTTAGTCTTGCAGCAGTACAATGTTTTCTTGTTCTTTTGTTCTCAGATGGTTAAAACAAAAAATGTGCATCGTTGTGTTCTGTATGTTTGCTGCACGTTAAAAAAACACTGCAGACACTTTTCCCAGCTGATGCAATGAAGGTTCCGATTCTCCTCCGGGTGCGCGTCAAGATGCTCCCGTCAAAAATTGTCTAGCACGCTGCGATAATTCTTGCACGTCCAATCAGCCTTTCACCGAGCAAGACCTTTCTTGTGGCTGTGGTGTGCTTGAGTATTGTGCACGAGTGCGGAGTGCGCGAAGGCATCTCCAAACGCCCCTCTGCAAGCACAGAACTTCGTCGCTTCTATGCTGAACCCTTCTCGAGCAGGACCATGCCTGTCATTGTCATGCCTTGGGTTAGTAAAGCTAGTGGCACTTCGTGTGAAACCTACCACGGTGTTTTGTCTCAATCTCTATGTAACAGCGGTGTAAGATTCTTTATCGCGGTAGTAAACGTCAATTTCTCTCTTGGACAGCGGTGCCACGGTGCAGTGTTGGAGTTTCGCGGCACTTTGGGGCGGCGAACAGGTTTGGTTTGTCCGCGCTGGCGTCAGCTCATCGTTTCCCTCGTGTGGATGCACTTGGGAGACGGACGAACCGTGGACATGTCGTCACGTAATCAATCCGTCCGCGGATCAGTCTGTCGTGTGAATCGGCCATTTTGCAAATGGCTTCTTGCATCAGCCGTTTCTCTGAGCACAGCGGTGCACAGCAAAGACGCTCGACGCACGCACGCCATTGCGAAGTGGATTCCACCCTATCACGTGTTTCTTCTGTATTTTTGCTTTTGGACCTCAGAAGCACCCATTCCCCAGGTTCTTGACGTTAAAATGATACATTGTACCTATAGGACGGCTTCAAGAAACATTGTTCTAATTCTGACAAGATGTGTGCAGCCATGCCACCTTAGCTGTACATGGTTGCATATTTTCGTTTTCTACACTTTATGATAGCGGTTGTACCATTGAAATGTAATTATCTATTTGCTTGTGTGCCATAAATTTTCTCTTTAAGGCTGTTTTAGTAGCGGTGATGCTAGAAAGGAAAAAAGGACAACCACACCCCGTGTTGACCTCCTCACAGATCCTTTCCTTGACTTTCGCTCGATTTCTATGGTTGCAGAGAGGTCTTTGAAGACAAGACAGTTCTGGAGACAGCGAGGCATCACTGCAGCCCCAAGGTATGAATCAGAGAAGTGTCGGGAGCACAGTTAAATCAATGTGGCGGCCATATTCGCAGCTGGACAGTAGTCAGTGATGTGATTGCTGTGCCAAACTGCGCCAAGGGGCTAACCCTGCTACATTCTGCTACATTTCACCAAAATATGGAGAATCTGCGCCGAGCCTGCACCAAAGGACTAATTTAGGTCGCCTTTCAAAACCGAAACTAGACTGAGTACTGTAATTGAGCAGGCGTGTGTTATGTGGCACAAGCGGCCGCCTGACACAAAGTATTGTGCATCAATTGTCCACTCGGTCTTGCATGGTTTTTCCGGCGTTTCGCGCTCTCGCCTTGGGGGTCTCGTCTCTCGTCTCTTTTTTTTTATATTTTCAGCGATAGACGCGGATGTGTGCAGACACTCCGACGCTAGCGTTCCAGATACCAGCCATGCCGTCATGCTGTGAAACAAAACCATGTTTTTGCACGGCAGGAGTTACTTTGTTAGCTGAAGCAACGGCCATGGGAAAACTATATTTGGGCACTGCCTTTCAGTCACCATGGTCGCGCGACATCGAATGTTGCCGTCCCCACATCACTGCAGATATGGTACTTTCTAAACTGTAGCGTAAAGACCACCGCATGTACATCAACATTCCTGTTCTTGTTTAAATTATACATTACTACAAAAATCCATCTTTAATTCAAAGACCGCTCTGTCAAAGTATTGATTATCTAGATTCCTCTCGGTGGGCCTTCTTTCGAGAGGGACCTCGGTACGTGAAAAATCTGCCGTGAAAGAAAGTTGGTGAAGGGAAGTGAGCTCACGCAAAGAAGGCAATGTCTGCACGCTGAACTCGCATAGCACGCTTCTGTTTGTCTCGAGAGTCGTTGCACTAAGCGCCCCAAGAACGTTTTGAGGCTGGCTCGCAATGTCTTGCATCGATGCACTCAGGTTCTTTATTTTTTGTGTGTTTAGCTTGTACCTTGTTTGCTGGCCTGACAAGCACGTGCCACTAGACTGTTTTTGTCGCATGCTCGAAATTTAAATTTTTTGTACAATTTTAGGGATAAGTTAGCGACGGAACTGAGGGGCATGGTTTCGATTTCGATCGGACAGCCGTTGTCTGCGCTCGCGCGACGAAGAATGCCCAACAGCAAGCCTGCCGAAGTTTGCCTCACATGCATGCGAACATGTTTGCTTGACTGAGGCACCAGCTGGGACGCTTGCGATTCATTGTTTTACGTTTGCTTACTTTTGACGAAAATCTGGCACGTTGGGAACCAGTAAAACGGTGCAAGCGGTTTTTCGAAATTGCTTGGCAATGCCTACAGCACTGTACACTTGTAAGACGTCTGAGCAGTAAAAACAGAAGCAGCGAGTTCCGTCACAACACGTCACATGAGAACATAACAGAAAGTGCCCTTCGTTTGTACAGTACTTAAAACAAATCTTTTTATTTTCCTAAGAATATCTGCTCCAAAATCCCCTTTTGGTGCTCTGAAACACTGTCTTGACTGCTCCAAAAGCCGCTTTTGCTGCTCCAAAATACTGTTTTGGTTGCTCCAAAGGCTGCTCCAAAACACTGTTTTGGTTGCTCCGGAACGTGCGCCAAAATGGCTTAGGCCAATCACATCACTGAGTAGTAGAAGTAGTCCTGTGCCTTTTGCCTTTGTATAGTGGCCTTGGGTTCAGTCATTGCTACGGGCAGGTCGTTCCATCGGAGCCTCGCGTTGCACAATTGTTAAGGGTCTGAGGTATTTTCCATTGTGTGCCTTTTGGCACGAGGGCACAACACTTCAAAACACACAATACGGCAAGTGAATGTATCGTGCATTTGTATTGCTTGCACCCAGTCTTGATTTCTAGTGATTGTTAAGTGTTTGTGCAGCATTCGTGACGAGCTATGAAAATGATGATACACTGCAATGCACCGTCACAAGTATTTGTAGCAAGGCTTGATCCTGCATCATTACATTGGCAGAAATGTACTTATCATTACCGAACAGCGATCAAGACCATGTATGTTTGTTTGTCATTTAATTATAACACTAGTACTGCCTCAAACGGACCTGTAGGGACCGCTGGAAGTGCAGAAACAATATGCTGCAATCATTGCCAGATGGCAAAGAATCGCTTATTAACCGCGCACCCGAAAAGTTTCAATATTCCAAGCAGATAGCAAAGGTCGATTCCCCGTGAGTTTGTGATCCAATACCTCATTGACGCTTTCCTAAGTACACGAGCGATAACACCACAATGCGCTTATCATTTGCCTTTCCTCACTGCCACCCTCTAGCCTACTGCATGAGTGGAGGCTTTGGCACACTGCCGCGGTTCCCACGCACTCCAAATCCTTCTAAAATTACGATTTAGTAGCTTCCAATGACGTTCGTAAGGTTTCTAATTGGAGCCATATGTTCATTTTCAGTAATTAAAAAGTTAATTAGCTGACTTATCGTGGCGATTATTAACCCCCTATATTATGTTCCACTGGTCGTACGACTACCCTGTACAGACTGCATTAGTGTAGCTTTCACAGATTTCTCTTAGGCTACAGAGCCTAAGAGAAACCCCGTATTTGTATTTCAGAGTAAAAGAAAACAATGTGTCTCCCGCGCGCCGTCTTATCTTTCCCGTTTCGTCGATACAACTCTGCGACGTATTTGAGTGGATCAAATTCCAATCGAGCCGACGGGTGCACCTCTCGTTTTCCGCCCCTCCCCTCCCCAGGTGGCAGCAGTGTCTGTGGCGGTGAACCGTCCCCAGCTGCGTCCGTTCGTGTTCCGCAACTACAACCTGCCCAGCCGGGTGGAGTCCCACTACTATGGCAGCTGCAAGTACCAGGTGTGGCAGGCCATACGGGCCTCGGGCGCCGCACCGGGCTACTTCGAGGAGTACGAGCTCGACGGCATTGTGCACCAGGTGGGTTGTGAAGCGCATGCCTGGAGCGAGATCAGTCGCACTCCACCTAGAAATGTACCAAGTGTCCCCCCCCCTCCACCCCTCCCCTGCCCCCCACCCCCCCCCCCCCCCCAAAAAAAAAAATTACTAGGCATTTTTTGCATCACCGAACGCTTGTTCTCCGCCCAGACGTAGCGCTAGCGGTATGAACCAGGTGCCAAAGTTTCGGCACCAACCGTTATATTATTCGAAAGTTACAAATGTTTTTTCTGAAATTTTCAGTGGGATAATGGCAGCCGACGGTGCTCTCAAATACGTGGGGCTCTGCAATGCCAGAAACCAAAAGCGGGCGAAAGTGGGCCAGATTTTCCCATTGAACATTTCGGAATATTGTCACGGGTGGTGACCAATAAACAAGAAATGAACAGGAAGAAATAAACGTTTAATGTGGCGAACTTGTGCCAAAATAAAAAAATGAAAGCCGCTTACAACTCCCTGTAACGCCGAATTAGAGTGCAGCTCTTGAGGAGGAGGAGGGAAGGGCACTGGGGGGGGGGGGTCAAACTAACCAGGTGGGGGGTCACGTGACCTTGGGGGTCACGTGACCCCCAATGCCGATGATGTCATCACTGACGTCACTGCTGACGTCATCAGTGACGATGACGATGCGGGTACCGATGACGTCATTAGTGACGTCACTGATGACTTCACCAGTGACGTCATTAGTGACGTCACTGATGACTTCACCAGTGATGATGACGATGACGATGCGAATGTCGGTGACGTCATCAGTGACGTCGCTGATGACGTCATCAGTGATGATGACGATGACGATGCGGATGCCGGTGACGACATCAGTGACGTCACTGATGACGTCATCAGTGATGATGACGATGACAATGCGGATGTCGGTAACGTCATCAGTGATGATGACGATGCCGATGCCGGTGACGTCATCAGTGATGATGACGATGACGATGTGGATGCCGGTGACGTCATCAGTGATGATGACGATGTGGATGCCGGTGACGTCATCAGTGATGATGACGATAATGATGTGGATGCCGGTGACGTCATCAGTGATGATGACGATGACGATGTGGATGCCGGTGACGTCATCAGTGATGATGACGATGGGATGCCGGTGACGTCATCAGTGACGATGACGATGACGATGCGGATGCCGGTGACGTCATCAGTGATGATGACGATGACGATGTGGATGCCGGTGACGTCATCAGTGATGATGACGATGACGATGTGGATGCCGGTGACGTCATCAGTCATGATGACGATGACGATGCGGATTCCGGTGACGTCATCAGTGATGATGACGATGTGGATGCCGGGGACGTCATCACTGATGATGACGATGTGGATGCCGGTGACGTCATCAGTGATGATGACGATGACGATGTGGATGCCGGTGACGTCATCAGTGACGATGACGTCATCGGGGGGTCACGCGACATTGGCGGGGGTCACGTGACCTCGAGGAGGGGGTCACGTGACCTCAGGGGAGCCACGTGACTTTGGGGGTCACGTGACCTCGGGGGGTCACGTGACCCCCCACGAGGTCACGTGACCCCGGTGGGGGCTCGCGCGGTGCATTATGGGACATTTCCCATGATGCACCGCGCGGTTACGGCGACGGCGACGCCGCTCAAGCCGGAAACGGGCCCCTAAGAGCTGCGCTCTAAAAGGTACAAAAGATAATAACAGAGCGTCGAGGTCGGCGTAGCAGCAGAGTCGAACGCTGGGGCGAAACTGACTCCGGCTTGCCACGCAGAGCCGCTTTTGTACACGCGTTCGCTTCTGGAGCATTCGACGTAGAAGGTTCGACGCGTAGAACAGAAACTCGAATCATAGAAGTTCGTAGAAGAAGAAGTAGAAGTAGAAGAAGACGTAGAAGGTTCGACGCGTAGAACAGAAACTCGAATCAGCTAGACAGTTCTCGAATTCACCAGAACATCTCATTACAGTGTCAACAAAATGCGTAGCCGCGGCCAGGGATTGAACCCTGGCCCTTCGCGTGGGAGGCAAGCGCGATAACCGTTAGGCTACGGCCGCGCTGCCTACTTGGCGCGCGGCAATATCGCATATCTTTTTAATAATGGCTAGTTCTGAATCTTTGGCATATAATTTAGTTTGATGATGCATACTGTAAAATCCTGTAAAAGCCTTCCCCTAAGAGATTGCCCATCCCGTTTTTCTGGCTCAGTATCTGTAACATAAAAATTACGAAACATCGCCCACCCCCCGATTCCCGTTGGACATCAAGCGATGTCCGATGGGAATCGCACATCAACGGCGCAATTTGCGGTACCGGTGTGTCCGAGAAGCGAGTTCATAATGGTTTCTTGCATTTTTGTCTGCAATCTGCGTGCATAATATCGGCTCCCGTAGCACGCAATTTGTTTCTGCGTGTATATTGTATCGTGAAATGCGAATCTGCTGCATTGGCAATTTGCACTATCCGTTCCCGAGTTCGTAGCGGATTCCCGTGTTTTTGCCTGCGATCTGCGCACGCAATATCGAACGTGCGAGTCCGCGATCTGCGGTATTTGTTTTTGTGACATGCGAGTTTGTAGCTCATACCCGCATTTTTGTCCACGATCTGCGCGCGCGATGTGGGTTTCCGTGACAGGTAAGATTGTAGCGGGTTCCCGCGTCTTTATTACACCATGAAACTTGAATCTGCTGCGTCCGTGATCTTCGGTATCCGTTCCCGTGAGATGCGAGTTCTCGGCGGGTTTCCGTGAGTCCTTCGCACCGTGAAATGCGAATCTGCTGCGTCGGCCACTTGTGGTATCCTTTCCTGTGACACAGGAGTTTGTAGCGAATTCCCACGTGTTTATCACATCGCAGGGGTGGAACGGCTGCGCCATTTGCGCCATTTTGCGCCAGACGCATGTGTCTGCGCCATCCTGCGCCATGTTGCAGAAACTGCGCCAAAGCCAATACCTCGCACCATTATGCGCCAAATCGCAAAACGTGCGCCAAAAAAAACGTTTTATTTTGTCTTGGTTTCGGTTTTTATCGACTCGATTGTCAACAATGAGGGCGTTTAGCCTGGTCGGTCTTGCAATCCCTTGTTCTGTTTATTCCTCTTGTCTATCCCGAGTCGGAAGCGCGCGAAAAAACTCGGATTCTAAGCGCTACACCACCTGCGACTGGATTGTTACTCTTCAACCATAAGCGGTAGGGCAAGTAGGCCGAGGTGAGGTCGAGTCGTTAAGCGTCAGATTGCATGAGGCTCTGCGGCCCGGGATCCGGACGTCATCTAGTCGAAAGCAAATAAGCGAAATATTCCTTTTAGTGCTTCATCATTAGGAGTTGGAACCGCATTCTTGCAAGATAAATCGTGATTTGATAGAACTGAAACGCGGTCCGATCCGAAACCTTGCCGGTCAGCAGCTCTACTTATCTGCTCGGCGTACTTCAACCTTGCTCCTGCTTATCGCTTCAAATACGATAACTTCGTTAATCGTAGTCTGCTGCTTCGATATCGAGTTGCACAATAGGATAAACTCGAAATTTGTTGCCCTGTCCCTCCGTGCAACTGCACGTCCGTTGTTTACGCACGTCACGTGGTTCACACATATAGTTACTATGTCGAGCACGTGTGGGTTGTGCGATAAGCAGAGCTGGTTTGCATCTTGAGCGTCTGAAGGCCACTCAGAAAATATCAAGGATGCTATCTTCAGAAACATAGAGTACTTGCTGTTTGATTCTCATTAAGGCTCACAAAGATTCAAGTTTTCGCATCTGTTACACTGTTATCCCCTCTACCTAGGTCCCTAACCGCTCATGTTCATCTCTGCTGCTAAGCACAATTGAAATTGTTTTCGTGCTTGTCTAAGACACAAGCTGAAGTGCAATGCAAACTGATCTGAGCTGCTCCTAGCCTGCTCCAGAATGTAGTTTTAGCTGCTCCCAACCTGCTCCAAAACAGCTGTTTCAGCTGCTCCCGTGGCTGCTCCCAAGTACATTTCATGAGTTCCACCCCTGCATCGTGAAATGCGAATTTGCCGTGTCCGCGATCTACGGTATCAGTTATCAGTTCCCGCGTCACATGGTTTGTAGCAGGTGCCCTGGTGCTTGTCATTAATTTTTGATGTTTTGCTGCGGCATCCCCAAAGATAGCCCACCCCATGTTTTTCACCATTTATCACTACATTTTGGGTGGGCGTCCTTATGGGATTTAACAATAGTTCATTTTTGAAAAAAAAAAAAAAGAACACTGACATTTTTTTGGGGGGAGGGTTGTAAATTATTAAAGAAACATGACAAATTTTTTTCTACATAATCGCCCGTATTTACCAGGCGTGAGTAGTTTCTGTTTAAGCACTGACTAGCGACGTAATCGACTAAAATGATAGTGTGGCAAAGCGATAGTTGCTGCTAAAAGAAGTCGACTAATAAATCTTCGTCATGGGGTAGGGCTAGTTTAGCGGGTGACTAGCAGCTTAGCGCCAGGGCCGACTCGTATCACCACTGACCGCCAGCGCTAACAAAACACTTACTGTCTTGGAATGCTGGGGGACACATCTAGAAAGAATTCGAAGAGCAAATATTGTGTAAAAAGCCATGATCAATGGTCAGAGATACTGCTAGAGATATCTCAGCACGGCGCTGGACGATGACATAAAATACATTTATGGGCGCTTCCATATTTGTTAATGTCGCTGGCAATGCAACTTCCGTGTTTCTCCCTCCTCTTGGACAATTAGTCTCTCATTGTAACTTTTGTTTTTCCTGATAAACATTTAAATATTAGTTTTTATATGATAAAATAGCCATTTATGCAGCGGCGTTTAAGTATGCATATGTGTCACCAATCTTTTTATGTCACTTCCGCTTGTTAGTTCTGAGTAGATAGTCACCCGCTCGCTTCACGCTCATGAACGCCAGAATTAGTTGATCCTTAGTCGCAGATTTTTTCTCTTAGTTCGTGACTACTTAGACGTGATGCTAATTTGAAAACAGTGCTAGGTGGTCACGACAGGTGAAATGGCTGAATGTGTCTTAACTTAGAACTAAATAAAAAAAAAAATGGCACAAAGAAAGTGTAATGCAAAAGTGTAAAGGCTGGTTCACACACTTGCGTTTGCTTGTGACCGAGTTCCCGCGATTACTCGCAACGAGAGGGCATCCCGGCACCATTTGTGAGGCAGCCCTGAAACTGCATTTCACCAGAGCGGAGGCTTTGCAGTATTTGCGGGATCATATGTATGTACTTATCTACAAGAAATGGTTTATAACATTGTCAAAGTTATTTAAACCAAAAAAATAAATGAGGCTCAAAAAAAAATGTATACGGAAATTGTGAGCGTTCCACGGCTTCCCGATAGGTGTCGCCACTGTCATAAGAGATCACAAGAGGTTGTGAGGCACTCAGTCATAAACAGTTGCAAGCGTGTGATCCAGTCTTAACGCGTAACTTCCCCGCTACGTTTAGCGAGGCAGCACTTCTCGCCAAACCGTGGGCTTAATTGTGCCCGAAGTGCCGTTGCGGTCACGGCGTCTAGCGAAGCTGAGCCGTGCCTCGTACCCAGGACGGGGGCCTGATGGTGAACAACCCGACGGCGGTGGCCATCCACGAGGCCAAGCTGCTGTGGCCCAGGGAGCACATCCAGTGCGTGGTGTCCCTGGGCGGCGGCCGCTTCATTCCCGCGTCCCAGGACACGCCCCAGGGACTCTCCTCCCTCAAGAGCAAGGTGCTCAAGGTCATCGAGAGTGCCACCGACACAGAAGGTATGTACCTGCCGCTCGTCTCGGGCTGTGGGGTGCTGCTTTCGGAGTCACAACTCGGCCAACGTTGTTCGCCGCGGTGGCGCGAGCGCCGCGGCACGCCTGTATCCGGCGTTGACATCTTTGCTCCGAGTCATAGAGGCTTGCGCAGTTTCCTCGGTGCAGTAGCTCCGCACTGCCGCAAGAGCGAGCGGCTTCATCTTGCATCTCGTTCACACGTGCTTTCGTGCGAGAGAGATGCCGGACGAAGCCGCGCATCTGCGCAAGTTGCTTCGACGGCGTTCAAGCACTGCAGAGGTTACGTCAGCCTTTACAGTGTGATACAAAACAGTCCCGACAGGTTTCCAGTTAGGTATCGTTTGCAGAAAAAGAAAGAAGTGTGTCACTTAGTGTGCCATTTCCAGTGATCCATTAGCATGCAATTCCCAACCTTCGGCGAATTGGGAGCGACTGCTTTTCAAATGCGAAGCAACAATGAGCGCGTCTTTGACCGGTGCATTTAGCATCCTATCTTGCTCGTGCATCAAAAGTGATCCCAAAGTGGCAACAAATGACGTCGCAAAAGCCGGAGGCAGCATTCCAAAGTTTATTCGATCCGACCCCGGAGTAAAGGTTTCGTACTATGGCATTTCAAAACTTACTCGCTCTTACTCAATGACTTTAGAAATCGCTTTCCAGAAGGTTGTTTATTCCGGAGTAAGTACTCGCGCTACCCTCCTGAGATCGGCGGGTGACGTCAGTAAAGGCGTCACGTGATCTGTTCGCTGTGTCCTTGTTGTCTGCTTTCTGCGCTGACTGTTACCGAAGCTCGTCTGCTTCGTTGGCTCTGGCGGCAGACAATTGAAATGGTAGAGAATGAGGTGCAGTTATTTATGTGTGGTTACTGCGATTTTTTGTTTTCAACGCACGAATTGAGTGTGCACCACATCCAGACCGTGCACCTTCCTCAGGAAGGTATAGCTGTTGTTATTATTAGAAAGCGAGCGTAAACAGGAGCTTTACCGTATTTTTACGTTCAAGGCTGAAGATGTTTGAATGCAGTAGATGATGTAAAAGTAATTTTTTTTTTTTTCCCAGGGTGTGCGTAATGGGAAGATAATGCTTGTAAAGCAGTGAAGGCTTCGAAGAATTCATGTATGGGATCTGTCAAACAAACATAATTAGTTACATATCAGCGTTGAGAAAGCCCCTCGCGCTGTACTGCTACACCGTCTGGAAGCAGATTCTAAATTTCTGCAAAACATAATCAGCACAAGTTACGATGCGTGGAATGTATACGTTTAAAAAAACTCAGACTAGAATTTAAAAAAAAAAATTTTAGATCTATTTGAAAGGAGTAAGTCATTTTGATCTCAAGAAACAGCCCAAAAAGAGGGGTAAGCGAGTGGAACCACCTCTGAAAGTGCCGGTTGTCACCGTCGAAGAAAAACTTTGCAGCGGTTGATATTATTGCATCTTTGCGTGCTTCCTCTACAATCAAAAGCAAACGTTCGCTATTTTCCACCGTTGCTGCCATGTTTACTTTTTGCCGTAGCTCAAGACGAAGTCGATCCACGTAGTATCTAGGCGATAATCCCGGCCGTTCCAAAATTGAGTCGCGGATTCTTTACTCGCGATGTCACGTGACATTTCCCACTGACGTAGGAGAAAGGTTATTCAGGTATGTTGCGACAGCGCAACACCTTTACAACGCCATCAAGCGGAAAACAAGGGACCACTTTTTTGGACACGATAAACACACCGGTCGGAGACGCGTTTCAGACGCCGGGACGAAGCATCTCTGTCCACATTTGTCTTACCGCGCATTTGTCTCGTCTCTTTCGGACAGCGGTGCACACGACGGTCCAAGACCTGCTTCCTCCGGGCACCTACTTCCGCTTCAATCCCTACCTCTCGGAGCACGTCACCCTGGACGAGAGCCGGGCGGAGAAGCTGGACCAGCTCAAGCAGGACGCGCAGATGTACCTCCGGCGCAACTCGGACAAGTTCAATTCGGCCATCGGCTGCCTCGGCCACCAGCGCGGCTTCCTCCAGAGGCTGGAGGACTGGCTGCGCCTGCAGGTCGCCATCAAGTGGTGACTGAGCGTCCGTCCTAGCAGACGACGCTCCGACCGCCGTCCGTCTTTCCGTGGGGTGGCTGTCACGTTGTAAGGTGTTAGGCCTACCCCAGATCTCCGTACCTCCGCCGCGGAAAAGTTCTTATGGTTTTGCGACGTCGTCAGCTTGAAGAGGGTTGTGGCGAGAAAGGGCGGGTAGGGTGGTTATTTGCAAGCATGCCTGTAAGCACTTGCATCTTACGAAAGCCATTTACGTCTTACAAATAAGAGAATGGTTAGTTTGAAACTTTAGCCTCTGGTATGGGCCACTAACGTTACGTTCGGGCGGAGACCGAGCATTTGACGATAAGTAGCTTATTTTTGCGACAAAAAAAGGAAGTTTCTGTAAATTTTTCTTTAGGGGACACACCATACGTTGGACTGCGAGCCAACGTATGCCATTTGACGACCTGGAGAAATGGTGAGGCCTCTTCTCCGACCGGCGGGGTGCGTGCAAATCGAGGCATTTATTCTCAGACTGATGGGGGAGCGGAGCATCAGTGGGGCCCGATGTCCGGCCAGAATGTGATGCACATTTATTTCCACATGAAACGTCGACCTTCCAGTTGCCAGTGGTGCCCGCCGAACATCTGACCTGTGACCTGTCGCTCACTTAGCACTAACGTACGTCCATTTTTGGGCCGACAATGTGCTTCTGTTCGGTAGCAGTTTCCTGCATTGAACACCAAATTGTCACTCGCTTGCATGCAAGCTGATGTTCTTCTGACTTGTATGCTTGTTTACGACGCAACGGTACTAGTATATGTTTGCTATCTGATCAATGAGGTAAAACCGCACTGCTAGATGACAAGTTGACTGCGCCATTTTTTGCGTGCCGACACTCGAATAGTTTTTGCACATGCTAAAGTGAAGAAGTCTATTAGTCGTAATGCTGCTTTACAAGTTTACATCGTTCTCCAGTACCATATGTATATGACACTTGATCGCCTACTCATTTACTAGACAAGGGGACATCCCATCGCTATGCGATTTTTTTTCCACTCTGTCACAAATGCAAATCAGTGTTTCAGTCCTGTTACAACAGGAAGTGACACCGAATGTGAATTCACATTTCAATTTCAGCCATGTGAGACATGCAAAAGTTGATTTACTTCTGATTTACTTCAAAAGTTATATTTAATTATTTGTTTCTTTTTTTTTTCTTAAAGACTTATAGTCTTGTTTTAATTGGAATCTCCAGGGAAAACAAAAACTGGTTATTGTTGGCTCAGTTGACAGTGGAATGTTTAGCATATCTTTAGCGACTGCTTTACCTAAGTGTATGTATATAGTAAAGTAGGGACCTGTAAATATATTTTTACTCTCTAATACCTTATTTTTTGTGACTGTTCTGTAGCTGCTAGAGTATTTATAATTTGCACCTCTGACCCAACTAGTCAATTTCAAAGGGAGTTCTTTTTGTGGCATGCAAACCCTGGCATGTTCACAACAGTGTTAGAAACATGCTGTGTTTCTAGCATGTAAATAAAGTTGTTCTGTTCTTATGTGGTTTGACTTGTCTTTGTAAGCATTACAATGCAGTGGCTTAGCCAAGGGGGCTTATAAAGCTTCAGCCCCCCCCCCCCAAATCCAGCTGACCCTATTATTAGGATTCCGTGTTTACGGAGTTAGCCCAATTTGGAGAGTGTTTTATGGAGTTTATTGTTTGCTGAAAACTCCCGAGTCTATCAAAGTTTATTAATTCTTCAATATTCATAGCTTAATTTCGCTGTTTTCTTATTGAAAAAAAAAAAAAAAATATTGGTATAAACATATGTGTTAGCTTCAAAAGAACGAGCTTCTATCAATTAATATATCTTTTGCTGAATTTGGCATTGGCGACGTTGCCATTGGTAATACTAGTTTGTCCCGCGACAAAAGTAGCAAACAAGTCTCTCTTCGATAAACGTCGAAACCTTAAAATCAATAAACTCGTGAAGGTGGTCACTAGGAACCTCGTGTTCGTCCCATCCTACAACCCGCCCTGCCGCTACGGACGGTAGAAAGGTAAAATGTGCAATATAAAGGCTTCAACTTCCTACCCCCTCTTCCCCCTTCTATGAAATATCTATGGTTCACAGCTTTCACTGTTACCCCTGCTTTCTCTAGGAAGCGCTATGGCTCAAACTGGAAACCGGAGCGGTGGCTTTTACTGTGACCCCAAAGATCCTGTTGGGGTATGGCCAGGCAACAGGCGACCACGGAGAGAGAATGGGTCAAGACGATTTGCGAAGAGGCGACGCGGGCCGGAACTCAACAGTGGCAGGGGGCGACCCAGAAGAAACGGAGCCTCGATACTGACCGAAAACACAAGAGAACCAGCCCCATACGGCGGGGACAAAGCCAGTGCCCTGCTTTTTCAGACACGAATGGGCTGCCTCCTGACCCAGACATGGAGGTGCGAGCTGTGCGGGGAGAACCCAACCCGTCGACTTCGTCAGTCGATGCAAACGTCTTGAACACACCAGGAGAAATTGCGGTGGCTTAGCTCTGCTATGCCAGGATATACGCAGCGTGAGCTTATGCGCACAAAATGAGAGGTGCTATCAAGCGGCTTCGGTGCAGCATTAGACTTGGCTACTGCGCAACGGAGGCGCACAGCTGGGCACGCGGCGGCGCCAGTGCGTTTGCTGAGGCTCCGACGTCACTCCTCTGGAATGCGCAGACCGGCGAGGCGGGTGTGGCGGTGGCTTCGCGTGGCTCTCATAATGAGCCGTGCTCATTACGTGGAGCTTTGCCACCGCCGCGCACTCTGCATAATAAGCACGGCTCATTATGAGGGTTACTCGAGACTGTATACAACCTCGGCCAGTGTAGCTAATGCTACAAAACTCCCCAAGCCGTGGCTTGGAACGTGCCCTGGGCCCCTGGGGTCTGGTAAAGTCACTGGATCTTGGGAAAGTAGTGCCAAGCTCCCCGTATGGTCACAATGTTGATCTGTAAAGTGCGATTTCTCCTTGACCCCTCTCTGTTCTTGGTGAGCCGATCTAAATTCGCTTCATGGTGACTGGTAGCTTAATGGAGGCATTTCTTGTACACCGAGATTTTGCTATCCGCACACCGGCGAAACAAGCGTACATCTTCGTACCACGACCGCATGCTGTGTCGGTGCTTGGGGGCAATGAAAAATAAGTTTACTGCTTTAAAATATGCAAGAAGCACAGTATAATTGTAAGACAAATATGGAGATGGGCATGATTGATAAGTTGATTGCACACACAGTGCCAAAGACGCTTATATTGGTGAGAAATGCTTTCAGTACGATGATGCTCCATGGTGATCTTGGCGCGACTGGTTAGAACGACTCTCTGGAAGCTTCGAAGATTTTAATAAACCGAGATGGCGATTTTCATGGCGTAGACAGATTAGCCAATCACCTTGCGAGGTTTTAGTCATCTGTATGTTAGTATCTGTTTGTGTCCGGCTAGCAGGTGGGGAAGGCAACAGCGCTACTTTCCCAGGATCCAGTGACTTTGGGGTCTGGGACTCGCGGACGCAGACGACGACGGTGTGCGGAAGACACGGAGCGCCGCCTGGTGATGTGGGAGAGACTTAGTCGCAATACTCTCGACGGCCGTGGACTTCAGAACTCAGAAGTGAACCTTTTTATTTTATTACGTAACCAGAGGTACTCTTTCAGAGTACCCGCCCTAGCCCAAAAGGGGAGGCACTCACTCGATCAAACGACGTTTTAGCGAACGTCGGCGTTTCACCGAGTGCCACTTCCGACGCAAAGCGGCGTTTAGGCAAGTTTACGGGTGGGTCAAGTGGGTTAACATTTTTGTAATGAGCCGCCGGAAAATTTGGGCTCTTGTTTACCTGACCCCTAAATGAGTTATCCTGGTTATCCAGCGACAGAAATGTAGAAAAGGAAGAAGCCGCCAAAATTGCAAGGTAGGTGACGCGAGCCACCGCCCATTAGAATGCGTATGACCATGCTCCTTCATCCACTCGTCTATCCGCGACCCCGCCGCAAAACATGGCAGCCAAAAAAATGGCCGCTTCCACGGTCGTCCAGCGAAACCTGCCGTACCTCCGACAACAGCTCCTGGCCGCCCTGCAGACCTGCAGCGTGGTGGTACGCGTGCTCAGCCTGGCCCTATTCCTCTGCTATTTCCTCTCGTTCAGCCGCGCCGCGTCCCTGGCCGTCTGCGTCACGCCGGGATACATCATCCCGCCGAGCTTCTGGATATGGACCGCCTTCACGCACGCCTTCTTCGAGAACCGAATTTGGATGGTCCTGGCGGACATCATAACCGTCGGGCTGTGCGGCAAGCTTATCGAACCCTTATGGGGCGCCATCGAGATGCTCACGTTCTTCGCCATCGTGAACACGTCGGTGGCGGCGGCTTCGGTGGCCTACTACATCTTCCTCTACTCGCTTACTTGGAACCCGGACTACCTGTTCGCGGTCCACATCCACGGACTGGCGGGCTACTGCGCGGGTGTCATGGTGGCCGTTAAGCAGATTATGCCCGACCACGTCCTGGTGTCGCTGCCCTTCGGCAAGCTGAGGAACCGTAACGTGCCCCTGACCGTGCTCCTGTTCACCGTAGTGTTTTGGGCGTGCGGCGTCTTGCGAGGCACCTACCCGGTCATGTTTACGTCGGGCGTGCTGTCTTCCTGGGTCTACCTGAGGTTCTACCAGTATCACAGCAACGGGAGCAAGGGGGACATGGCGGATCACTTCACCTTCGCCAGGTGGGCGCATCCCTGCTTTTTCGTTTGTGTGATGTTGCGTTGTCTGCTTCTACCCTTACCGATTGTTTTCAGCTGCAGAACCCCTGACCGATGGAATGGCATCCAAGACCGAAATTAGAACTCTGATTCGCTGTCTTGGGGAGATAGGGAAGGGACCAGCCAATCAGGGACTCCGGTGGCCATATTGGTTTGTAGGGAGGACAATGACATCATTTGCGCAGTTTGCTCCGTGATGCTGACGACTTTCTTCTGGCTTGAGGGACTGGTTCATTTGATAATGAGGCTCTAGAAAGCGATTTTGTATGCTTTTATAGACCAGCAGCAAAGTTCTATTGTGACGCGTTGTTGCTTAGCGACATTTCTTCCATGTTACCACTGTCGTAGTGCAAAAGCTGTTAGGCGGTCCCACAAACAATGTCGGTCACTCCTTTCAACAGCAGGCAAAACGGCTGACAGAAGTGGTTTGTAGTGTCACTCCAGGCAGAATGTCATTACGGCATTTCAGCGGGTTTGTGGGCGGGTTATATATCGACTCTTGCAGATGCTTTAAAAAACTCTAACTGCTCTATTGTCCCAAAAGATCCTGCCCTTATGTGTTCTTATTCCTGTTCCTGAAAAAACAAACAAGAAAAACACAGAAAGGTTAATTTTTTTTCACAAATAACGTTGCCCAGGTTCAGTCAAGCTGTAGGACGGGAAATCTCGATTTCGATAATGATGTTCACAACTATCTCGATAACTTGAAACATGAATGAATAAAAAGGTTATTTCTTGGTCTTCAAAACGATATGACACTTTTTTTTACGTAGTATTATAGCTGTCCTAGGTGAGAAACCCTGTTCGAGCTTTTTTCGGTTGCACATCGTAAATCAACCCAGTGTTGGAATAGTTGTCGAAGTGGGGGTGGAGATATGGAACTAAAGTGAAAGTGCAGGCGAGCTAGGTAGACATGGTAACCTAGGAGCAAAAGAAAACAAAAAAGCGTCCGGCCTTTTCATGCCCCCCTCCTCTTTGGTTACTTTGTGTGTGGCCTTTGCCTGCCGATTTGCAATGCACAAAGTTGACACCTGGTTTTTTTTTTTTTCGCTGTGTGCAGCTTCTTCCCCAACGTGCTACAGCCTCCGATCGCCCTGGTGAGCAACCTCATCTTCAACTTCTTTGTCAAGATCAAGCTGTGCAGGAAGCCACCCCGCAAGTACAACCTGGCCAGCGGGGCGTCCTCAACGGTCACCATCAGCCTACCCGGTACGGATCCGCAAGACGCAGAGAGGCGGAGGTGGGTGGCATAGTCAGGTTGACCGTTTTTTCTTTCCTCCTTACATGGTCATGTATCGTCTGTCTGAGGGCAGTTAACAGTTTGCAAAGTTAACATTCCGGCTGATTTACGCTCCACAAAACAAGCAATTTGTCCGAAAAGTACTTCAATATGTGTCTCCTTAGGTTATGAATCAAGAGAGCACGTCTTTTAGTGAAAACGTTGGGAGCAACAAACTCCCATATGTCAAGAGCTGAAGACCCGACAACCTTCATGTCCATTGGGGCCGGCCGACCTCACGCCGTCTAATTTGCTTCACGTTTTATAGCTATAGCCTCAAACCACTCACTAAAATGGCAAGTGTCCTCCAACCAGGTGCTCATTCATACCCCCTTATAAGAGCTCGTGCAATAAGGCTATGCAAACTACACAATTTTCTTTATGTGCTGGATGACCCGCACCTACACTCGTGCATTTCCGGGTTCTGCGGAGCACGAAACAAACGATTCCCGTCACCTCGTCTTTCCACAGGCAAATAGCGCTCCGTGCCCTGAGCGAGCGACTGACCAAAGTGGAACAGCAATGGCCGCTACTCTCGGACGAAGAGCAGTCGTCCACCGCAAGCAGTGGCAGCACGGCGCCCTCTCTCGGCACGCCGCTGCACCACCAGAAAGGCGGCGCGGGTGAGGGTGCAACGACGGCGTCGCCGCCATTGCAAGTTGCCATCTCGATGCCGGGCGCCACATCTGCCCCTGGCGCAAGCACGTCGCACGAGACACTAAAAAACGTCGCTTCTCCCGGCCTCGCGTGACGGCCGACGGTAGCCACTGCGCAACCTCCACACCGTGGGGACACGGAATTGTTGCCGTTGTTGTGGGACCCATGAGGACTCCGGAAGAAGTCACTTCCCACGTTGATCGTTGATTGTTTTCTCACCACCTAGGGGAGAAGCAGGGGTAAACAAACCTAACGAAAAAAGGTGACAACCCCTTTCAAGGGGATCACCATTTCTTTTTTTTTTTTGCGTGCGCGTGAAATTTTTAAAACATTTTTTTTTCTATTTAAACAGTTGTGGTTCAACGGTGCGCAAGACCGAGCAGTAACCCGAGTTTCATGGCATCCTGGAGTAATTGCGAGGTGGCCAACGCGATTTTGGGTAGCAGGCGAAGCGCCGTCCACCATCGTGCGGAGTGACTTTGGCGTGTTACGATTGTGTGCGTGGCGAAGATATATCTGTGCAACTCTGTTTACTTGGGTCTGTGAGTGGATGGGGGCATCATAGAAGTTGAGTTTTGTAATTTGGCACTGCACATCGGAAGTCTGAATTTTTCCTTTCTTTTCTGTGGATTCTAATATATATATATATAAATATAAACATGCTTATATAATTGTTTTAGCAGGGCATCTGTCAGCCTGGCATTGCAAATACTGCAGGTTCTTTTTTTTTCTTGTGCACATTGGTTTAGGATTTTGGGAAAGAGGGCACAGCTCCATCGTCATGCATCTGTACATATTTCGAGGCTGCTTCCTTCCTCGTGTCTTTGTTTTCCGGGAAGAGCGTTCCATGTACAGATATCCTGTATTTAAGTGTCGCCTCATCGAATAAAGGCTGCAAGCGTTTCCAGCAGTAACCGGAGGTTGAGAAACTATTACGGATTAGAACGTTGCACGCTTCACACCAGCCTACCATCACAAGTGTTTGTGCGACGTGCCACCGAGCCATAAATTTCTTTACCAGATTGCAAAGGTGGGAATAGAAGCGTACCATTCCTTTCGGTCTCTGCAGTACCAAACTTGCTGACATTGTCACGTGTTTGAGGTTGCGCGCAGAGCGCTGCATTGGGAAGTGATGCCACACTACTGCTGTGTCTCGCTGTGCAATCAACGGAAAAATAAGGAGCCAGCAAAAGTAAATATACATATTTTGTTTCTTAACTTTTTTATTTAAGATTTTATGGCGAATCTTGGGAATAGTCGTGGCGTTTAACTGGAACTATATCCGAGTGGCAAAATGGCAGTGCCCATGCTGTCTGCCTCTACCATGGGCTCTGTCCAATTCTATCGGTTGCATCCACAGCAAGCAAAAGGACAGCAACAGTAAAGACACCGGATCAACTGGGGCTCGTGACTCTTTCATGGGGCTACTTTTGCATTGCTTGTCACACTGCGTGCGGCAAGCAGTTTTTCTGATGACTATATTCTTGGTGTCGTTTCAGTCATTCTGAACAGAACCAATGCAACTTTCTGAACCGGGCTTACTAATATAATTAATTTTGAAGTACCCAACACCTCTGCCACGTCCTAGAAAAAGAACATTGTAAGAAGTCATACCCAACTTTCTTGGACATCAACGCCTCGGAGCGTGCACTAAAATGACAATTTCAACCGAACAACAACAAACATTACAATGTTCCCCGAGAATATTGTAGGTGACAGTCATAAAATATTTATAGGCAGTAGTTGAACATTTGGACACATATAGTTTTTATTTCACAGGTCTACAATTTGTTTTGCATCTTTTTTTATGGGCCACGTTCACTAAATTGTCAATTTCTGCTGTTCTTGACGAAAGATCGTAATGTTCCCGAGGGCTGTAATTGACAGGGTATCTTATAAGCGAAATTAATTAGACTTTTTATATTTTTTTTGACAACTTTTTATTCCACAAAATGTCCCAGAAAGTTTGCCAAAACTGCGAGCGGGGACGGTGGTGAAGCCTCGATCGAACATGGCGCGGTCGCTGGATAATCTGCGTGGCTGCTGAGAGGTTACGCTAACAATGAATAAGGTCTGAAAGTAGCACCGCAATTCTAACGCATTACTTGTTTGTGACGCTATTTGCAATTGCAGTAACTACTTTTGTAGAAAAGCAGTTGTAATTAAATTACGTTGCAGAAATAATTTACCCTGGTAGGCAGACTCTGTGGTTGCCGTCAGAGCCGTGGTTGCCGTGTAAGGCGTGGTGCTGTTTTGTCTTCTGCGTTGTTCAAGAGCGCGGCATCGTGATTTCCCTTTACAGTGAGGTAGTGCCACTTTCCGGCGAAATCCGGCAGCGTTGGGGCGTTGGTACGTAAAAACGTGACGTGATCGCCAGAGAGTGACAGCGCCACCGCACCATCATTCTCCCCACCGTACCACCACTAGCACGAGAACACCAGAGGGTGCTGGATCTCTTCGCGATCAGGCACGAGAGGCAACGCGTGCGCGCCTTCGGCACATCTCCTATTTCACTAAAAGAAAATATCCTGAAGAACATCGATTAAAAGCAAATGTCCTAAAGCACATCCTTGAACAACGCTACTGCTACCGGTGTCCATCGCAACATTTTGTCTGGTCGTTTTCTTTTTTTTTTCTTCTGGAGTTTGGTTTGTTTTTTTGGCAAATAGAGTGTTTATTTACGAAGATTACAACAATAGGCCTTCAAACTCGCAAATTTGAACTCCTCCTCTCTTTCTTTCTACTTCTCTTGTCTTTGTCGGAGTCGTAGTGAGTTCATCTATAATAAACGAGGCGGAGCCGCACGAAGACATATAACACAGATAGTAGTTTGTTGAAGTTTTTAGTTAGTCCGAATACGAGGCTAAAGCCCTAGTTTATCTGAGGCGGGAAAGGGAGACAAAGTGAGATAGATATTTCGGAGAGCTTGACTGTCTGTGGCAAAGGGAGGTCACGCATGCATGTGATGTGACAGGATGACACGGTTCCCCCGAGTCAGCAACTCTGTGCCCGCAAAATATACTGTAAGGAATTGGGGCATCAGCGAGAGATGCAATACACACTGATACACAGACGACGCAAGAAAAAAAAAATGGACGATAAAGAAAGAAGCAGCACAGTTAGCACCAGATTAGCATCCACTGATCTCTATATGACAATTTGTCATAGAGGTCAGTGGTTATAGCACATGCATTTCAGCCGCTCTCGAAACGAAGAGAAGGCAGAAGATCTCGCGGCTTACAAGTCGATGGACGCCGGCTACGAGCCACCGCCACCACCACTAGCGGTCCGCGTGTAACATTTGACGGCCTCGACTCCAACGCAACCTCTAAATTTGCACTCCATAAGGTGAAAAGCTCGTTTCCAGCCATAGGAAGCGAAGCCTGCATCCGCGACAAGTCGCGATGCACATCCTGGAGATGGCCGCCTTGGACGGCCTCCCCTGCACGGCGGCCCACAAGAAGGACTCGGACTGCACCACGTCATCGACGTCCCCAAACCCCAGTACCCGCGGTCCCGCCAACGGCGCCCCGCCGGCAGAAGTCTCTTCCAGGGCCCTTTACAGCGTCTTCGCTGTCCTAGGGGCCTTCCTCGTCGTGAGTGTGGTAGGAGCCGCCGTCACCTTCGTCGAGACGCAGGCCAAAGAACGCAACATGACGTCGCCGGCGACGGGGGAGTTTGTTCAGTTTGCCAACACGTCCTTGTGGAACGCGTCGGCGCGGAGCGCCATGCCCCCTCGGAACGTCCTTACCTCCAGGATTGCCAAGACACTCGCCGAAGCGACCTCGCGCTCCGCGAGGTACGACGACTTTTTGCGGGAACACTCTTTAACGCTCAAATGAGATCACCGGCGACTTCTGTGGGTACAGTGACTATGGGTACGGCGACGTGTTGTGCGATCGGTGACGTGGACGCGAGACGGTGACGCGGTGGTTATCTGTTACAACGTCGACGTCGGCTAACTCCGACTGTTGTCTTCTTCGATACGCTTCGTTATAAAATAGTGCGCTACGATTTCCTGGCGGTCACATATTCATTAATCGATCACATATTCTGAATGTATGGGGAATATCCCTTATAGGGAGTATTCACTGGCGGCCATACCCGTGTGCGCTGCTGCCGAGCGCGTGCTGACGGCGAGCTTCCGCAGTTCTTTTGGAGCGTGCATTTAGCACCATCAAGGTTGCCGGTCTTAGCGGGCTATTAATGTGAACTCGTCCCGAGCATGCGCTCTAAACATCGCCCTCAAATATGGCGTCCAGTGAATACCTCCTATAGGGTGTTTTCACCGACGTCATTTCGTCCGCTATTTTGTTGTCATGACTCATGAGCAATCGGCACATCACACCCTCAAGATGGCAGTGCACAAAAGCTTATTGGTTTCATCACGTTGACATCTAAGAACAAAATGGCGGATTGACGTCACGTGAAAACGCCTTATATAGAAAATGTATAAGGGGTATTCACTCGACGCCATATTTGAGTGCGCTCTTTGGAGCTCTTGCTCAGAACCAGCGGCGCTATAGGCTGCTAAGACCGGCAATCTTGATGGTGTGGAATGCACGCACGTTGCAAAAGAACTGTGGAAGCTCGCCGTCAGCACGGGCTTAGCAAACGCACACACAGCTATGGCCGCCAGGGAATACTCCCAACCAGATGCCAAAGTTTCAGAACTATCTCTTTCAAGCATTCGGCGATACGTAATTTAATTTTGCAATAAAAAGTAAAAATAAAAACATTTAGGGAAATTCTGTACGTGGTTTTCCCTGACGTCACATGAGTGGTCGTTATGAAGGATGCTCCTGCGCGCGTTCCTTCCGCAGCATATAGGCAGCCGGCAATGGCCAGGCGGCGCCACGAGAGTACTGCATTCAGCGCCACAAGCGGAGGCGTCTCTGTTAATGGGGCGGCCAGTTTGCCCGTCGGGCCGTTGCGAGCGGTGGCGACCCCGATTTCAGCAGTCCCCGTGTGCACCTGCGTGCCATGTCCCTGGTTCTTTTATGCGGTTTCTTAAGACCATCGGGAGCCTCCAAGTGTTGAAAGAATATTCTAGAGTCGTCATTTGGACACCAGTTTGAGTTGTCTTCACTACTTGTGGCCGCCCGATCGGTCTGTGCTTCGCTTGTCTCCCAGGAAGTGACACAACACAACGAGAAGGCAGCGAATGGGTTTATTGTACATCCCGGTTGCCCGGCTTCAAAAGCCGGCAGTCCGGACCCGCCGACCCTAGTTGTCGCCCGTCGTTCAGAGCTCGCAGTCGGAGCCCGTGTCCAGGGCGGCGGATCGCCCTTCCCACGCCAGTGCTGCGTAGGCTAGCTGTTCCGGGCTATCGCAGCCAGAGTCTCGCTGCGGAACCACTCCGGGATCGTCATCGTCATGTATGTATGTATGAAAAACTTTATTAAAGGTATATCATGAGGGAGGTAGTTTGAGGTGGCCCGGAGGGGGCCATCTCTCACAAGCACTAGGTGGGCTCCTCAGTACAGGAGCCCATTGGCGACTGCCGCGGTTCGGGCTCGGTCAACCAGGGCCTTCTGGCCCTCCAGGTCGGAGCAGTCTGGACTAGGCCAGTATGGTCAGAGTTCGCCGCTCCGCCGGTCCTGATCCGAACTTCGCTGGTGGAATGCTCCCGGGAATCGCCATGGACCAGACCAACCAGAGCGGCTCTATCGTTCCTGCCCGGCCCCAGCCTCGTGCAGCACGCTCTTCCTCTTTCCTCGCCGGCTGGCCCCCGCTCGCGCCTCGCTCGCCGTCCTCTCCTCCCGACGCCCACACACACTATATACGCTTTCAGCGCGCGCCAGATTGAGCCGCCATAGCCGACCTTCTCTTGTTTTACCGAGATGCCGAGCCACTGAAGCGGGCGTTGACGAGCCTCCACAAAAGCCTAGGCTGGGGAGAAGGTCACAGTAAC